TCAAGGGGATCTATCACCGCGCATGCTTTGCGTATCTTTCTTTATGTGTTGTCCAGACTGAGGCACATGAAAGAGTGGCATCTCCGTTCAGGGGACCCGCTTTCAGGGGTTCCGGAACGGCCAAGTTCAGCTGCGAGGTCAATCTCGAAACATGTGTGTGTGTGTGTGTGTCTTTTTTGGAGGCTACGCCCTTGTTCTCTGTTTTTTTTTTCCCATCCCGGAAGGCCTCAGTTTTGTTTGGACTTCCTGTTATTTGTACCAACACTCACTTCCTGAGTTCATGAACTTTACACTTTTTGGGAAGACCATTTTTGTGGTAAACAAACAGTTCGGACTTTTTTTTGGGCCATCCACTCAGCCAGTGAGAACAAGGGTTCCCAAAAGCGCAGCTCGGAGTTCAAGTTGCAAAACGGGCCCCCAGGGCTCCGAGGCCCGGAGGCGGAATTTTGCTGGCCCCGAATGGCCCCGAATGGCCCCGAAGTCGTCTCACTAGCAACTGCTCGGAAGTCGTCCACTGCTTTAGAGCATTTTTGCCAAGGGATGTTTGGACTGAATAACTTTTTGATCCAACTAATGGGTTTTCCGTATTGAACCACAAGTAAAACTGTTGGCAGGGGAGCAGAAAGCAACCGAGACTGGCTTACGAATATTTGGTGTGTATATATATATATATATATGACATGCGATTCACCATTGGCGTCGAATATGCACACATATTTACCCCTGGTTACGAATACTTTGGTTTATAGCCTTGGGGCTACAGTTTGACCTGGAACCCGGGAAACCTCCCACCAGTCGTAGAGGAGGCTCCCGAAGAAGCGGGGCCCCTTCTTTTGGGGCTCCATGTTACCTCCATGTGGGTATGGGTCAAAATTTAACCTCTAGGGGACCGCAGGTTTTAGTCCTTCGTTCCATCTACGAGGGTTCCAGAATGGATACCCATTTTTGACCCACAGCCATGCGAAAATTTGCAGGGGAGTACCCAAAAGCACCCAGCATCTTTGGAGGAGTCTCCCCGGGCGACTTGGGAAGCAACCCTGGTCTTTGTTGCCCAGTGGTGCCCTTTTTTCTCCCTTTTTTGGGGCAAGGGTTCCCCGCTTTTTCGCTCAACCAGCAAAGAAGGGTGCCGTTGTTTTTTTCTTTTCCATGGAAATCCACCGGGCGTCTGAGTTGTGAATTTGTAGGGCGCTTGTCTTCTTCCATTTGCTTAAGCCCCCTGGAAAAAAATGAACATATTTCCAGTAGTGATAGATCCCCTTTGAAACCGGCAAGGGAAAACAACAAAAATAAGTTCCTAAGCAAATGGCTGTGGGTCAACCCCAAATGGGATCCCATTTTGGTTGGTAGGTGAATTCACCACCCATTTTAGAACCTATTTTAGTACTGATTGTTTTGGAGGTTCACTGGGGGTCTTTGGGTTTTGGTTAAACCAAACAAATTGTGACACAAGCAAATTGTGACACAAAGTTCTTAAGCAAATTGTGACACAAATGGATGTCTTTCTTCGCGAGTCACTGAGATGTTGGGAAGCCGTTTTTCAGAGGCGCCCGAGACGCCGCTGGCGCTGGAGTGGGAGACCAGGCGCCGTGTGTTTCTGAGAAATTTCTGGCGTCGGAGCTGTGATCTTTGGACTTTAGCTTTGTGGTTGACACTTTGTGGATTTTCCGAATTGGACCCAGAATAAGTTGAACTTTTTGTAGAGGTCAACAGCAACCAAGTTATCAGGTGCGCGCCAATTGGTGGTTTGGATTGGTGGGTTGGGGGTTTGAACCCCAGTTCCCTTTGAATCCAGATGGGGAGAATCCTTGTCAATTCCCTTATTTATAATTTGCTTCCTGAGTGGATTGCCCCAAAAAACATGAACATTTGTTTACCACTAAAATGGTCGTCCCAAAAAGTACGAAGTCCAGGAACTCGGGAAGTGAGATAGCTTCCGGGCGAATTTGGCTGTGCCTGCCGTTGCAAACATGGCATGCCGATCCACCCATGTTGAGCCTCTTCCCCATGTTCAAGAGTGCGCATTTAATGACTCCCGCAGTGATAAAAGCTCCACATGTTGCTGTCACCAGCTGAGTTGCAAGAACAAAACAAAGACAGCGCCTAACCCATAGGGCAAGCGGATCTCTGCATGCCATTGGAAATGCAACAATGGACGTGTCCAAGAATCCGCTGTTTGGGCAAAACATCAAACGGAATGCAGGTCAGTGCACAGTGCCAAGTTCCAACCAAAATATAATCAATCAGGTTGAAACAACAATGCTTGGACATTTTCCGACATGTAAGTGTAGACATATAACCTCGCCTTACCCCCAGCGGGAGGTTCTGGGGAGATATGTTTTTTTTTTTTCCAGAGCTCTCTGTGTTGTATGTTTTACACGGAAACCGAAAGGACGACTGAAAAAAATCGGGCCCCCCAAACAAAAAGGAATGACTCATATTTCCCTACCCAAAGTGAAACGACCCCCTCTGTAGCGCCGCGGTTGCCGTGAATCAAATTAGCCTCGCGAGGCTCAGTCTTGGTGGAATCGCGGAAAATCAACCCCCCAAGAACTCAACAACAAACAATCCACAACCATCCTTCCTCTCATAAGGGGTGTTTGCTGTGAATTAATCCCTTCATTTGCTAACTACTTTGGTATCACGAAAAAAGCTGATTTTCCATTAAGGGCAACACAGATGCTCAATTCGCAGCCAAGCTGGGCTTCTGCTAACTGTGACCAGACCGGACGGGGGGCCATGTTGGGCTTTGGGTCAACTGGGTCCTTCATGCATCCCTTCACTCCCCGAGCTCCGTTGTAGCCGGCTGTCTTGCCGCCCGAAGACGAAGATGCAATTGACCTGTTGAAGATTCCTTCTGCGTTTTACGGTGTGTTCTGATTTGTCTTATTTTCGGGGCGTCTGGAAAAAAGTGCATGCCAATACTCGAACCCCGGCAACGGAAATCAGTGGGCGTGTGGAAGAAAACCGCCGTTTCCGAGTCACGAGCATGCGCCAGTGAGCAAGCGACAAGCGCAGCTGATATACAAGTATGCAGAGCAAGAGATCGGTCTGCACTGAGACTCCGTCAACATGAGACAAGGCGGGCGTGAGAAGTCCGCCGTGAGCTCATGTATGTAGAACGTTAGCATATGTGCCAGCATGTGCGCATGTAAGCCTGCAGCGCGTGGACGGGCACATTAACATATTTGTCAGCATGTGCGCAAGTACTCATGCAGCGCGTGGACGGGCACGTTAACCTATGTGCCAGCATGTGCACATGTAAGCTTGCAGCGCGTGGACGGGCACATAAACACACGTGCCAGCATGTACGCAAGTAACCATGCAGCGCGTGGACGGGCACGTTAACATATGTGCCAGCATGTACGCAAGTAACCATGCAGCGCGTGGACGGGCACGTTAACACATGTGCGTTAACATAAGTGAGCAGGTCAGAGCCGCTTTCAGGGCCTGAGGGGGCCGAGCGCTGGGCATCGCAGGTCAAACCCTCCGAGCTGAGAGCTGACGCCGCGCTGGGCGAAAACGAGCGCGCCGCGGCGGTTTTCTTGTTTGGAACGGTGCGTCGGGCACTGGGGATGTCGATCCCATGGTTTTGGACTTGCGGGACCCGTTGACACGCTGAGGATTTCATCTTGGTGCGTCACGGGGCCCAACAAGGAGGCAACTCAAATTTGACGGGTTCTTGCTATGGAACATTCTGTCAGTGAACAAAATGCTGCACCTGTTGAGATGGATGAACCCCTATGACTACTGGGATGTACCAACTTGGCCCATCTTTTCCATCCACAGCAGGCCACAGTAGGTCATTGAGGCACTTAGCTTCATGCTCGCTGTAGACTGTAGAGGAAAGACTCCTGGATGCACAGCACAGATGTGTGTTTGCGGGTTTGTTGAGTTGTCTCATGCATGCACGCTTCGTGTTTATGGAGGGGCATACCTTCAATGCCTTCAGGTCGCAGCTGTTTACTCAGTGAAGGGACCGACAAGTCGCCTCTGCCTATTTGATATGACCCTATCGTGTGCCCAACGATAGCAGTTTTGCCCAATGCAGGAACGTGCTAGCTGGATTGTATCCCCAAAAGGAAACCAGGGGATCTCACTCCCTGATTTCCTGGACTTCTAGATTTTTTTTGGGGTTCGGACCATAGACCAAACCCTGACTTGGACTTCTAAACTTTTTGGGTTTGGACCATTTTCGTGGCTTAGCCCAAGAGTGTGGTGGACCCATTTTCTGGCCCTCACTCCATGGGAAGTGGCATGGATATGTCCAACTTTCCACCTCGCACACGTGGCTCGAAATGGGTGTCTGTCTTTTTTTTGGGTTTTCGGGGGGGGGGGCCAACAAACAAATGCTGTGGTCCGTTTGGGCTTCCTCAAGCACAAAATAACAAAGGTAGCCTCAACAAAAAGACACGCCCACATGTGTCAGGATCCCTCTTGGAAGGCTATTTTCCCTTGCTGGGGTACTATTTGAATGAAGTAAACGTCTTCGCATTGACTGGATTCTGACCAAGTGCCAGGTCGTTTGACCCTCGGACAAGTGACAGACCTCGACTTGTGACAGGGACTTGCCCTCTTTCCAACAATGATAGCAGCGGGCAGGAAATCTCAAAACCGCAAAGGGAAGAATGATGGGCGACTGATGTGGCCCCGCACGCTGCAGCTGTTTCAGCTTAGGCAGTGGTAAATCATGGGAGTGGACATAGGGAGAGCAAGGCCTCCATGGGAATGTGGCCAAACAAAGACCTCAAACCACCCGCCCAACTCATGTCCGCCCAAGAAATTGAGGTGTTGTTCGGATAGATGTTCATTGGCCCCTCGCTTGATTCCTCAATATATAGCAAGCAACCCAACCACAGGGTATCCACGGTTTCTCACCCAAGACTCAGGAATGGGTCCGAGGAAGAATGGGGAAACAGGTCGATCAGCAATTCGTTGAGCTTCCTTTTCCCCAGAACACCCCGAGTTTTGGGCAGCAGCCCTCCACTCACTATCACTGGGAGACCACCCAACCCCCCAACCCCCGCCGGCTTTTGCGCCGGGGCCCTTCTTTGCCCCCATGGCGCCAGTTCCAGGCAGGGGTCCGGGTCCTTGGATTCAACGGTTTCCTCGGGCAAAATGCGGGGTGTGGTGACTTTTTTGGTGCGGGGTGCGTGAGAAACGGGGGGGGGGGGTTTGCATCCTGAGATTCTCCCCGCCTGTCTCCAAGATTTCCCCGGGGTGGGGGGGGGGATTGCATGAGAAACGGGTGGGGGGAGAACCTGGCTCCTGCTTCTGGGGTCATGAATTGGTTTTGTTTCTTTCTCAAAGTCAGCAACTGGGGGTAATTTCCCTCTATTTAGCCACTTATGCGGTGACTTTGGGTAGTGGCAGAATAATGGTGCAAGTTCTGGCACCCTCACATGTCGTGCTGGAGTTTTCAGAGTTGGAGTCGGGATTCCGAAGGGATCACCATGTCCCGAATGCTCTTTTGGGTGTTTTCCCCTTTCTTTTTGAAATCAACAATAAGATCTGTTTTTCTCTTTCTTTCTTTTTTAGGGGGGGGGGGTGGGGGGTGGTCCTTGGATCTCAAACACATGCTGGGATCTGTTCGAAACGCTGCGGATATGCGCGGACCATCGAAGTGTTTTTTCCTTAAAACAAAAAGAAATCGGTCGGGGACGACAGAATTCCTGGTTCGGTTTCCGGTGAATTCCAGGCACCGGGTTTTCCCAGCTCTTCCCCGTGGGCGAGAAGGTCGGATCGCCGGAGTTGGAGCGGCGACTTTTTTTTTCCCAGCGAGGGAATTGGCCTATCGGGTTTCCCCATGGATTTCCCGGTTCCCCAGAGGAAGCCGCGATGTTCTTCTTTCCTGGGGAAGAAGTTCCGCTGCAAAGTCAATTAAAAGGAAATTATGTTTTGTCTCGTGGAAATCCGCTGGGCATCTGAGCTGGACACGGGGCTTCCCCAAAAAGAAGATCGTCTTCCAGAACCCTCATGTCAGCTTTTATGATTGTTGGAGGGAGGGTACTCGTTTGGGGAAGGTTTGGTCCCCTAGACGACCATGCTAAGGGGCAGTTTCGCTTTGTGTGGGGAGATCAAAACATGTTCGGCGGAATCCTCAAATTGCGCACCTAGCTCATGTTTTTGTGTTGACATGTTTTTAAGGAGGAAGCCGAGAACCCCGCTCATCCAGGTACTTGCCCCCCCCCTCCGCACCCTGCTTTGGTCGTAGTGTGTCATTGAGTCATTGATGTGTCCGTTTCAGTTTCCAGTTTTCCCTTGACCAGGGCAACCCATGTTGGGGATTCCTATTGTTGACCCACAGCTCAGGGCTGGAGCGAAATTAACGAGTGAGAAGCACCGGTTCTTGGCATTTGTTCTGGTATTTACCTAAGGCAATAGACGTGGTTTGTGGCGGATTTGGGGCTTTGGTTCCGGGTTTGCATCAAAATTCGCCTGGGAACCTTCATGCCGGTTTCTCAAAATGGACCGCCTGTGGGTAGGGAAACCAAAAGGTGACCCAGAAATCTTAAGGGAACCATTTTGGTCTGTCTTGTTCTTTTAAGGGTCGGACCCCTCCAAAGTTGGTGTTTCTTTTGGTTAATATTTCCCAAGGGCCTTCTTGTTTGGTGCGGGTTATCTTTGCTGCTGATGGATCATGTCTTTGCTTTTGTGTGAGCTTCTGTGAGCTTTCGTGGGCAGCACGAAACGAGGTTTTTGCTGCTACCATACCAAGGGTGGGAGGGTTCCTTTAAAAGGGTCAACTCCAAGAGGCGTTTCCTTTTCGGCCGAATTGGGCAAGTGGGAAGAGCTGGGCTTTTGTGGCAGAAACACCTCCATCGATCTATTAAACGGAGAGAGGCTTGATTCAATTCGCAAACGACAGCGGCTTGATGTGAGGGTCTTGGAAGCAAGTGGCAAAAGACACAAGGAAACCAAACCCGAAAAGAGGTCATATGAATGGTAAAGGTTTCCCAAACATATGCACGCATCTAGGAAACCAAACCCCTAGGATCATAGGAATGTCATCCTGGCCCAAGTGGGTTCCACCATCCAGAGCCGGCCCCGCAAAGTGCTCAGAACCCGTGAAGAAACATTCCGGTGTGTGTGTGTGCGTGTGTGTGTGTGGCCCTCTGATTTATTTGAACCGTTCATCCAACAAATTGCCGTAAATAACCCGTGAAGAATGGCCTAGCGACTTGGGGCCTAGCGACTTGGGGCGAGTGGGCCGGGAGCCGGGCAGGTGGTCTACTGGTCACGGTCCACGGGCATGTGGGTGCCAGCCACGGTGCTGGGGCACAACTACGTCCAGCCCCCGCCTTAGAACGGAGTGGTCAAAATGGTGGAGCCTTTTTTGGGGGTGGTACACGGTGGTACTGTGGATGAACGAAATCCTGCACCAATTGAGAAACCTGGGAATCCTGATTCCCTTGTAAATACCAACCAACAAGGGTTTCCTATGGTTTCCAAGTGGTGCCGGATTTCGTCCACCCACAGTATCAGGGAAGCTTAAGAGAGAAGAAAACCATCTCAAGAGATGAAAGGAAACCGCGGTGTGTGGGTGTGGTTTATCAGGATACTTGAGATACCCTTTTTGGGGTGGGCTGAAAGGGAAACTGAAGAGAAACCGATATTCTGTTTGGGTCCCTTGATTTTGACGCAAGCCAGTGCAACTGGCATGTTTGACCAAACTGATCAGTGGACAGGCCCGTGATTTTGACAGAACGTAAGCCCCAAGCGACGCCTCCAGACTGTGAGGTCCCCGGGACTGGCGTGGTGGCCCGGAGTGGTTTGGCTGGCCACTGGGGTTCCGGGGTACAAACGGGGCATCGGACTTGGGTGGGCTTTTGGTTTTTTGAATCGGACCGGGTCCCAAAACGAATTTCGGGTTTTCCTTTGGGCGCCCCTTTAGAATCATCCAAAAAGGAGAACCCTCAAAAAAGATCCACCCACTTGAGTCTCTGGACAAGCTTTTTGGGAAGGCCACGTTTGTCCACACCCCCTAGCACCCAGATCATTTGAATGAAAAGCAGTGTTCGGCCAATCCATTCAGGTTTTCCTTCCGGGCAGCCATGCAAGGTCTGCCCCAAAGCGGCAATGTGGTCGACTCAACAATCGGCGTCCTGAGATCTGACATGGAAATTTCAGAAGGGTGACATGCTTTAAATATATCAGTCCATCTCCCTCCCCTGGTTGTATACTTGCCCCATGCAGATGGACCTCTACTTACTACTTCCAGTTTGGAAGGGAACTTCGCGTGCTGTAGGAGTTGGGGGTCCCCTCCGCACGGCTGCTGGCAAGCCATGATCGGAGGATGGGCCATAGACCTGCTCTTCAACCATGTGCCACATGAGACATGAGGACTATGGCGAACAATTGCCACACCAGAACTATGGCAAACCGACTAGAGCCAGCTCTGCAATCTCTGAGCTGCGATATTTATACACTGCTACCGCAAACTGCCCTTGTTGGGTGTTCAAAGCCACTCCATCAGGGATCACTCGCATCTAGGTTGTTCTCTGGGAATTGGGCTAAACCATCCGTAAGTTGGACTATTGGAAAGATAGGGTTCTTCATCCCGCATTTCTTGCGGAGAACAAGCGTGGCAGAAGAACCTGCCTGTGCAAGCATCCAACTGGGACTCCTGATTGGTGTCTCGGGACTTTCGCACCTTTTGCCCGTCCGCCACCGGGTTTTCCTGCCTGAAGGGACGCCTTACATTAGCTTGTTAGCAGTTCATCACCTTGGGAGTTTTCAAAGACAGGGGGACGCCACCCCACCCCCCCCCCCTCCCCCCCGGGGGCAAGAAAAAGGGGGGTCCCGTTGGTATCCCTTGAAAGGTCCAACTGGGTCCGGAGGCCTTATTTTCAAAAGCCCGGCTTTCATGTCGTGTTCTTTTTTGTTGTTTCTGTGGCCTCCGACTTGCAGCACTTTTCTCCCGGGTGCTTTGTTTTGTGCGCCCAAAGCGAATCGAGCCTGCCCATGTTTAGTCCAGGTTCCAAACGCGTTTTCCTTATATCTGCCCGGGTCCTTTGGGCAGCCGAGCCCAAAAACATCCGGCTTTCCTCGCGAAAACCAGAGAAGAAAGGTAGCCGGGTAGCCTCCCACCAAACATGGAAGTGCAAACAGGCCCTTTCCAAGAGGAAAGTCGTCTTTCTACGGGGTCTGTGCACTAACCCATGGAATCGCTGGGAGGGTGGCCTCAGAAACGACACGCCCCGTAGCGCTTCGCACGCGGCGTGCTTCGTCAGAAGAACCTCTGGAGCTACCAGCTGGACGCTCGGGGCCCTGGATGGACCCGATCCGAAGGGATGTCCTTGCGGGGAACACCCTTCAAGAGCGACTAAGGTCAGGGATGTTTCAGGTATGTATGGATTTTATGGTTTATGTATGTTTTTGTTTGGTTTCAGGAATGATGGTTAAGGGGTATTTATTCCTGCATGACAAGCTTATATTGGAAGCCCCATACCTGCAAAGACCCATACCTGGAAATGCCCTTGATATTATGAGGCAGCAAACAAGAAGCCACAAGTGAAGCTTGAGTGTCATTCTTGTGTCGGCTTCGGCGTCTGGTCGAGAAATCTTTACTCCAGTTCAGCCTGGCTTGCTAGGGGTTGCAGGCGCCAAGAGCGCACCATCCAATGATTTTCTTCCATTTGCTTAACTTCAGGATATTTGCCATTTTCCCCTGTTGGTTTTAAAGGGGATCTATCACCACTTGAAACATGTTTCTTTTGTTCCAGGGGACTTCAGCTTGATGTTCTGCTAGACAAGGGTGTTTCCATACAGTATGTGTATCGTTGGCATCCGCTTGGTTTTCCTTGGAAGGAATTTCAAAAGGACAAACCTTTGTTTCTTCGATGAATCATCTTCTGAGATGCGGCGGTGTTTGTGACCAGATTTCTGCGAGAAGCCCTGTGCGGGTGCAGTGAGTCAACGGGTAACAACAATAGGTGTCCTTTTAGGTTAGTTAGTTTGCCTAGAGATAGATGGGTTCCGCTGGTTGCGATTTGGTTTCATACCCCATTTACCAGGGAAAGGACACCTATGACAAGAGCTGATGAAGCTGTTTGCCTTTCCCTTTGCGCCATGTTTTTGGTTGGGCAGTCGTTCTAAGACCCGCGATGCATGCTTTCCGGTCAGCATGCTTTCCGGTCAGGATGATTAGCACAATACATTGAGCCATGCATCCTCCATCGCAATTCTGATTTCTACGTTGCGGCCAGTGGGACTTGTCCGCCAGCTCACGCAAGGCTCGATCCTTTAGACCCCAGGCGCCACCGCAACCGCAACCGCCTGCACCGATCCGTTTGTGTCAGGTGCAGCCACAAGCGCCGCCCTCGCTGGTGGCAAAGGCCAGGGAGCTGGAGTGGGTGGGGCGTTGGGGGAAAGCAGCCTTGCACCAATTAACACATGGCACCAATTTCGACGTTTCAAGGTGGGGGGTCCTGGCTTGGACGCTTGGATAATTTTCCTTTTAAAGGGACAGGGTCCCGAACGTCAGGTTCCATGTTAGTTGGTGGGTGAAAGTACCTTCCAAAAAGGGGAAGTGCTTGTCAAGTGAAAGTAGATGGTCCAATGTCCTTCATGTTGGCAAGCAAAGGGGGGCAAATGGCGGAATTGTGCCATCGTGCTATTTGCAGTTGGGTGAAGGTTTGCGAGTTTAACTCCAACCCATCCTGGTCACTTCTCATCCCCTTTGCCAGCAGAAAGGAATCTGTGCATCTACTTAAGCCTGGGGTACTACTAGGTCCCCCCAGTGGTGCCCTTTTACCCCTTTTTTGGGAGAGGGTTCCCCTACTAAAGTAGACTACAGAAAAAAAGGGTACCCTGATTCTAACCGCTCTACTGGAGGACCTAGACTATCAGGGCCTACCCCCCGCAATTAAAATTGAGCAGGATTGTGCGATGCTTCAAGCTGAATGGGTGTGTCCGCTAAAATGGCTGGCTTAAACCCCGTTGGTCTTCCCTTAGACTCCACTCTAAAAGTAGCAGCCTCAGAGAGAGACCCAAATGCAGCCATGCTGGGTACCATGAATCCGATCCCATGAGGTCCAGTTCCATGTGGGTTTGTGTGAAAAGGTCAGGACCCCAAAATAGGTGGCTTCCCGGTGGTTTCCCGTTAGAACATGTCCTATTTTCCTTTGGTTGTAACGGGCTATCAAGACAATATTTGTGTTTTATGCAGAGAACGTATTCGCAAATGGAGGTAGAGAAGCACCCCCCCTCTGGGTTGTAGAAGTTGCACCTGTTAACAGAGTCAACTTCGGCGTCCAGAGCCTACGAAGCGCCACTGCGTTGAATGAGGCCCCAGACCGCCTTGAACCTCACCTAAAACCCTGAGCTCTGGGAGCACGTTCTTTTTGGGAAGGGCATGGAAGGGCATTTGTGTGACATCACACAAACAGTTCAATCCACTTGGGCAGCGGGCTCACGTGGGCAGCGATTGTTTTTCCTGGCATTTTTTTGTTGAGTCCCAACCCTATCCCAACCTGGTGTTCCCCATTGGATGCGGCGTTGCAATTTTCGGACAGCTTGTCTGACACGCAACCGGTGTGACAAGCCAAAGCTTGGACATGGGAAATCCTCCCGGGTTGTCTTTGCTGGTGATTTCCTTCCTTGCGGTTGTTTCTTTCTTTCTGTCTGTATGTCTGTCTGTTTGTTTCGTTTCTTGTGGTTCTTCCTTTGAATTTGTTGCTTGTTCTTTCTTGCTTTCTTTCTTTCTTTCTTTCTTTCTCTCTCTCTCGTTCTTTCTTTCTTGCTGTATGTCTTTCTTTCGTTCTTGTTTCCTTCCTTCCTTCCTTCCTTCCTTCCTTCCTTCCTTCCTTCATTTCATTATTTATTTCTTTCTTTCTTTCTTTTTTCTTTCTTTCTTTCCTTCCTTCCTTCCTTCCTTCTGTCTTCCTTTCTTTCTTTCTTTCTTTCTTTCCTTCCTTCCTTCCTTCTATCTTCCTTTGTTTCTTTCTTTCTTTCTTTCTTTCTTTCTTTCTTTCTCTCTTTCTCTCTCTTTATTTTGTTTGTCTTTCTTTATTTCTTTCTTTTTTTCTCTCTTTCTTTCTTTGTTTCTTTCTTTCTTTCTTGCTTTATTTCTTTCTTTCTTTCTTTCTTTCTTTCTTTCTTTCTTTCTTTCTCTCTCTCTCTCTCTCGTTCTTTCTTTCTTGCTGTATTTCTTTCTTTCGTTCGTTTTTCCTTCCTTCCTTCCTTCCTTCCTTCCTTCCTTCCTTCCTTCCTTCCTTCCTTCCTTCCTTCCTTCCTTCCTTCCTTCCTTCATTTCATTGATTCATGAATTATTTCTTTCTTTCTTTCTTTTTTTCTTTCCTTCCTTCCTTCCTTCCTTCCTTCTGTCTGCCTTCTATCTTCCTTTATTTTTTTCGTTCTTTCTTTATTTCTTTCTTTCTTGTTTTCTTTCTTTGTTTCTTTCTTTCTCTCTTTCTCTCTCTTTCTTTCTTTCTTTCTTTCTTTCTCTCTTTCTCTCTTTCTCTCTCTTTTTTTTTGTCTTTCTTTATTTCTTTCATTTTTTCTGTCTTCCTTCCTCTCTTTCTTTCTTTCTTTCTTTCTTTCTTTCTTTCTTTTTTTTGTTATTTCCTTCCTTCCTTCCTTCCTTCCTTCCTTCTGTCTTCCTTTCTTTCTTTCTTTCTTTCTCTCTCTCTCTCTCGTTCTTTCTTTCTTGCTTTATTTATTTCTTTCGTTAATTTTTTCTTCCTTCCTTCCTTCCTTCCTTCCTTTCTTTCTTTCTTTCTTTCTTTCTTTCTTTCTTTCTTTCTTCCTTCTTTGTTTGTCTTTTCTTTCAGACAAGCACGCACCCACACGCGTCGTGTTGGCCACGTTTGAACACGTGGGTTCGACTGTCCACGCATGGTCTAGTCAAAACGATTCAATCATCCATGCATCCTTCCGAAGAGCACGCTGCGCCTGCCCCAACAAGACGCGTTCGAGACCAGACGAGTAGATGAGTTGCTTTGTCGGACATGTCAAATCTGCCATGTTTCTTTTGGCCTAGGCAAGATTAGATTTCTCAGCCTGGCTTAAAGCAACAATTCCTGATATTGCCATTCAACACATCACCCCCTTCCCCGCTCCTCGAAGGGATACTCACCTTCTTCATTGGAAGCAACGTACACTGACCCCCACTCGGTTGCTTTTAATGTCAAGTGCTGACAAGAACTCGGCTCAGGGTTTTTGCCCTAAGAACTTTCACATGAATGTAAGGAACAAAGTTGTTGAAGGAAATAAAGGATAGAAACGCATGTCCACCTGGAGTTCCTCTGTTTGAACCACACACACATTGCGTGGATCGTTTCCTGGGGGGCTTTTTCGGACTGTCGGCCAGGGGGCGGTTGACGTGCCTTATGCAGGCGCGGAATGGAAAGTCCTCGTTCCGTCAGCCAGTTTCGGCCTTTCAGCCTTTGCGCGTTGCGGACCGATCGCGTCAAGCAATTCAGGGGTCCTGTGATTTTTTGCATATCCGTCCGCGTTTGGCTGAACCTCCCGACATGGAGCCGGAAGGTGCTTCTTGGTTGTCACATTTGTTCGAGGCCCCCAGAAAAGATGCCTTCAGCAAACAGACATCACTTCGAGAAGTCACCCTTTTTTCATGGCGCCGCCGTTTTTTTGGACATGTCCAAGTGAACATTAGCATCAATCACATACCAGCTGCCAATCGGCGAGGTTTACCAGGTGCTTCCTTTGTGGGTCGCCTTCCTTGCTTGAGATCAAGGCCTTGGCTTCCCACGGCCCAGCAAGGTGACACCCACCGGGCTCCTGTTGGTTTGTGGGGCCTCTTTGCAAGAAATCGTTCAAGACCCGGACCTGAGGCCTGTGTGTATTTTATGCCAAAGGGTGGTATCGAAAGGTTGGAGACCACCAACCGTCCTCATTCTGCGGCTTGGCTGTTTCAGGGACGAAGCTTTCTGCACACTTGGGAGGTTCTTCCATGTTCAACCGAAAGGGGAACTCCGTTGGCCATCATCGACCCAATCAGGCGCCAACAATTTCTCAAGCAAGCAGCAGGCAGGTGTTGACATGAACGTGGCCTTCACTGGTTGCTGGCATGTGCGAGTGCAACCAAGGACTCTCCAAAAAAAGGGAACCGTTGTCACCGGGGAGTTTGGGCGATGGTTCCTAGATCCATGAAGGATTCCAGGCTAAAGCAGCGTCCCCGCTGTGTTCCAACAAGGCCCAGCAATGTCCCATGAATCAACCCCTGTTTTTTTGTGTGGGAAGTCACGTTGATCGGGAGGCTCCGACATGGGCCTTTGGACGCCATGGGAAGGACCCCTCGCAGAAAGGCGGCCCAGCCTCAGTGGAGACTGGGTTCATGGAGGTTAACTTTTTTTGGTGGTCAACTTCTTGTGGTCAACATCTTGTGGTCAACATCTTGTGGTCAACATTTTGTGGTCGACATCACATTTTGCAGGCAGTCAATTTAACTCTGTTGAGGCTCGGTGGTGGCCTTTTTCACTGTTTGGAAGAGGCTTGTTTTAGCACCCTCCCAAAATTTTGGCAACCCCAATTGGATTGGTGGTTTGGGATTTGAACCTCTGGTTCTTGTAGAGGGTAAAGTGAGAAACCGTCCCTTGCGGCCAAACCACCAATCCAACCTCCAATTGCTGATTGAGGGTTACGTAGACTGGTGCTCGCCTGCGTGCTGCTCTCTCTGGCCATGTTTTGACTGATGGCTTATGGTTTTCAGGCTACCCGCTGTCCTTCTACGTAGTGCCAGCGACGAGCCTTGGCAAGGAAGCAGGGAAGCGAGGAAGCCCGGCCAAAACTAGGCGAATTACATGAAAGAAGTTGCGGGGGTTCTCAAATGTTATGGAAACCACCATTTAAGATTTGAAAGGTAGGTTTACGGATTGACCCAGCCACAGCCAACATGCCAACCATTTTCCTTCTTTTTGAAAGAAAGAAATATGCTCAGGTGATATCCCCAACAGCATCTGGTGCTCTTTTTAGTGCTCGCACCACCCCGCAGCCCTCGCAGAACCTCGTGGAACCTCTTGGAGCCCTGGTGGAACCCTGGTGGAACCCTGGTGGAACCTTACCTCAGGGCCGCCCCGGACCCGGAGCCTATCTGGGCTGAGACCCCAAAGCTTTCAGCTGTTGGAGAAAAAAAGAAGCACATATATGTGTTTGTTTCTTCTTCTCGTTTTTTTTTTTTTTGGGGGGGGGGGGCGGGGGGTATGGGCGGTTAGGTTGGCTTGCAAGTAACCTCTGAGGAACCAGCCAAGTGAACTAGAAGCTCCTTGACCTTCTTTCTGTTCAGGAGATTTGGTTTAGCCAGGTTGTCAGGTTTTTGGCTAGACAGCTGTAAGAGAGATGCGTCGTTGTTGTTCTAGAGCTGGTTTTTCTTAGATCTGGCTCTGGCTGGTTTCTTGGTTGGTCGATCGGTCGGTCGCTTGGTTGGTTGGTTGGTTGGTTGGTTGCCTGGTGGGTCAGTTGGTTCGTGGGTTGGTGGGTTGGTGGGTTGGTGGGTTGGTGGGTTGGTGGGTTGGTTGGTTGGTTGGTTCGTTGGTTCGTTGGTTCGTTGGTTGGTTGGTTGGCTGGTTGGCTGGTTGGCTGGTTGGTTGGTTGGTTGGCTGGGCCTCACTGCGGAAAAAGGAGCAACAACCACTGGGGAAACCCGCACAGCAGGCTTGGATTTCTGACACCACTTGCAAGCGCTCACTTCTTGGCTTCTCACAGCTAACGGCTGATGAAACGCTGAGGGCTGGTCGGTATCGCGGCTACTTGGGGAGCGAAGCTTGTTGAATGTCACACGGCGTTCTTTGCATAAAGTGCGGAAGGGTGCATCCTTTTCGTGCCAGGTCAGTGCAAGAAGCATCGACAGAGCCCCTAAATCCTGCCCACCTGGAGGAATATGTTGATTAGCAATTCGCCGCCCTTTTACGTTGAAACTAATCCGACCCTGAGCTACAACACCTTGTTCAATCCCCACTCCCTTTACATGGAATTGAGCGAGCCCCTGGAAAATCCATGCGTGGTATCAGTTTTCCATTGATGGGGCAGACTAGAAAAATGGTTGATTGGGGATCTTGCAGATTAGGCAGTCTTCCCCCGAAGGTGATCGATCCAGGTTCAGGTTCCCTCCTTCAACAAGCTTCGTGTAGAACTCCTTTGCTCTTTCGTCAGAAACGCCTCACCTGCGCAGTGGGGGCGCGCCATTTTCGATCACCCCGGCGACCCGAAGCGAATTCGGAAGGGTTCCCCAAGCACAACCAAATCAGCTTCCTGGCCGGAAGCGGATGCTTGTTCCCCTGTTTTGATATCTGCTTTTCTGTCACTCCTTTTCGTGAGTCCATTTCCAACCCTCCCGCTTGTTTCAGGGTTTCTCCCCCAATCGGCACCCGGCCCTCCTGCGGCTTCCAATCATGAATCGAATCGGTGGGGATCAGACCCATCCATATTCTTGCGACATGATGAAGGGGCATGTTTGATTACCAATAGGTTGTGGTGTACTTTTCAGCCAAACTAAGTCATAATCAGGTAGTCGCCAAGCCTCTCATACTGGGTCCCCAACGTCCTTCCATTTTCCTAAGAATATGTTTTTTCCCTGTGGTTTGACGGGAATCTATCGCTGGCTGTGATTCCTTTAATAGGGACCGCTTTCAATGGTGGACATGAATCCCTGTCAAATGTCACACCCATATTCATGTTTTCCTGAGGGGACTTGAGCGAATGGATGCATACGAGCGACTTCATCGATCGACTCAAACTAAGCGAAGGCCAAATCCGCAGCCGCGGGCGGCCGTGAGGCACCTTGGCCAGTTTCATACCCTAAGACCGTGTGAAGGTTCTAGTACATGGGTGTGTCGTATTTGTTGGACCCCCAAAATGCTGGTTTTCCTCTTGGTTTCCCGCTAAAACAAAAAAGGGGATACCCTCAAAAAAGGACAGACCCGACCTCATGTTTCTTTGTGGGACCTTATGGTCTTGCGAGGAAACAGGAGGCCGTGTTGAATCCTATGAGCTTGATATGTTGAATGGATTCCAATGGGTTCCTTTTGGATTCTACACACATTGTCCTATGGTGCCCTGGCGATCGGAAACCGTTTAGAACCTGTGTGAAGGTCGCGCAAAGAAACATCCCCCAAAAAGCACCCCAAAAAGTTGGCACCGAGAGCCTCTCGATGGGGAGGCCCTGATGACCAACTATCGGAAAAATTGGGTCCAGCTAGTTGCCGGTCTACCCATGGTAGAGGTATTGCTTATGGTGCGAGTGCTGTGTTTATTTTGTTTTATGTGTGTTGTGTGTCCGTGTGGCACAATAGGTTGTTTGGTGTGCTTGGCGTGCTTGGGGTCTTTGTAGTGTGTAGGGTGTTTCACGTATTTAGCACGCTATGTGTTTGAGAAGTAAATTAGTGTGTGTGTCTGTGTGTGTGTGTGTGTGTGTTGCGTTGTGTTGTGCTGCGTGCATTCTGTCGTTTTCAGTGCTTTGTGGTGTTGGGTGTTGTGCGTGGTGCTTTGTAGCGTCTCTTTGCGTTTCTGTGTTTGTGTATGTTGGTGTGTGTGTTTTTTTGTTTGTTTGTTTGTTTGTTTGTTTGTTTGTGTGTGTGCATGCGGATGTGCTTGTCTGTTGTTTGCGAGTGCTTGCGTTTGTGTGTGTACACGTGTTTGTGGGCGTGTTTGTGTTCTTGCGAGGTGTGTGTTTGTATTTGTTTGTTGGTGATTGTTTGTTTGTGTGTGCGTGTGTGTGTGTGTGTGTGTGTGTGTTTGTTTTTGAGGGCAACTACCCTCCTTTCTTCCAATTGCTGAAATGAATATGTCTTTATCTCCCCTGTTTGTCTTGTAGGAATATGTCACTACTCATCGAACAATGTTTATGTTCCCAAGGGGGTTTTGTGGGTTGAATGAAACTAATTGCGCGCGTAATGAGTAATCAGGGCATCGTCAAATGGGCCGGTTCCGTTTGACTTCCCCGTTTTAACATCCCAGACTGACCTCCAAACAAAAACCGACATCCCTGTGTCGACCTCTGGCCGAAGGCCCGAAACCTGCTGGACTGGCTTGAATTGTCAACTGAGGCCACCACAAATGATGTCGGCAACGCCGCTTGGCAAAGATTTGTTATGTGCTTGCGTGCAGATCATGGCGTGCAACTCGATCATAATTTGGACTAAGTGGGCAAACAGCTACGTTCTCCCCTTCTGCTTTTGGATCGGAACCTTTGCGGGAAGACATGCAGGGCAATGTCAGGTGCCCAAATCGAAAAGTTGCTTTGCTCAGGCCAGCCCAGCCGATGACGGCTGCAACGCCCCTCGGTGGAGAACTAGCGCTGGCACATCCAGAGTCAGACGTCTCAGAGTGCACAGCAAACTCACGGAACCAGTTGGAATCAACGGCTACCTTAGACCTCGAGATGCTCTTCGAGATTTGAGGATGCTGCGTTCCCTGGACGAGCACATATTAGGTCCGGCAATGTGAAGTAGATGATGGCGTTCCATGGAAATTGCTCATCTTGGAGCATTGAACATGAGTGGGCCCGGTCGTGGTTTGCTTGACGTTCTTGATTTGTCAAAAAATGAAGGTTTCCTCAAAACCAAAAGGGTTCCAAGAACCTTTGCTACGGGCTGGGGAGCGTTTCCTTTCCTTCCTGTCATGTGAGGCTGGCGCCAACGATGTCGGCTGCAACGCCTCTTGGCAAACATTTGTTATTTGTTTGCGTTCAGATCAAACACCAAGTTACGGTTGAGATGGTCTGCAACTCGATTATAATTTGGACTAAGTGGGCAAACAGGTACGTTCTCCCCTTCTGCTTTTCCTCGCCCCTCGGTGGAGAACTAGCTCTGGCACATCCAGAGTCAGACGTCTCAGAGAGTTCAACTTGGAGCACTTAAAGTGAGTGCGCTCGGTTCGGCCGTGGACTCCCTCTTGGGGCCAGAACAGGTCGAAGAACGTTTCCAAGAGAGGCTTCTGAGAAGTTTCCAAGAACCTTTGCCACTGGGCTGGGGAGCCTTTCAATTTCTCCCGGCTGTCAAGCGAGGCTGGCGCCAACGATGTCGGCTGCAACGCCGCTTGGCAAGAATTTGTTTGTGCGCGTGCAGATCAAAGACCAAGTTGTGTTTGAGATGGTGTGCAATCCGATTATTTGGACGCCTGCGCAAACAGTTGTGTTCTCCCTTCTTGCTGTTGGATTGGAATCTTGCGGGAAGACGCGTCGCCATTGAAATGCTCGACGAGCATTGAACATGAGTGGGCTCGGACTTGCCGCGGCTTGCGGGACTTGCCTGATTCTTCACCCAACCAAGAGCGGCTTCTAAGAAGGTTCCAAGAATCTTAGCTGCGGGGTGGACCTTCCTCCCTGTCAAGTGAGGCTGGCGCCACCGATGCCGGCAGCAACGCCGCTGGGCAAACATGGCTTTTTGCGTGCATGCAGATCAAACAGGAAGTTGCTTTTGACAACTGGGCAGACAGGTGACTGGTGCTCCCTTTATGCTTTTGGATTGGACTCTTGCTGAAACATGGTGTCCAAGTTGAGTGCTTGTTCTGCTCAGGCCAGCCCAGCCGACGGCTCCAGCGCCCCTCGGAGAATAAGCTCTGTCGGATCCGTGGGAATCAGAGTCTGGCTGATTGACTTGCATCGGAATGCTTTGGGCGAAGGATAATTGGCTTTGAAAGGGGACACACATGGGTCGCTATTTACTGCGCATCTGGTTCTTTCAGCTTCCCTGGGCAATAAGCAAAGGTAAATGATGGCTCACCGTTCTGAAATGTTCAGCTTGGAGCATGCGACATTCGGGGGGCGGCTGAAGATTACTGGACTCACACAAGTGTGCAACTGAGGCCAGCGCAAACGATGTCGGCTGCAACGTCACTTGGCAGAGACGTGTAGCTTGCAGACAAACACCAAGCTCTAGCTACACGAAAGGGACAGTGCCATTCTGATGGGGGCAATCTGGGAGAAAAGCTTCAGTTGGTCGTATGCGCGATTGCTTTTTTCTTCTTTCCTTTTTAACATGTCGGAGTTGAACATTGGATGCCATCCCGAAACCCGGACTTCGACGTAGCTGGGGATCGCCTAGTGCATTCGTTGCACGCTTGTTCTCTCTGGGGATCGCAGCGTCTTAGGCGTTACTTGGATAGGTTTGATTTCTGGTTGAATCGCTTTCGGGACTCACAGCTGCTTCAAGCTCAGCGAACAAGACACACACACACACATACATTGGCGAAGAAGGGACGCGGAGGGTTGCCCACCTTGATCATCCCCAGGCCAGCCCAGCCGAAGGCTGCGCCGCCACTCGTAAGCCATTTAGCGCGGGGAGGTTGCTTTGGCGATCCTCCTTGTGAGGATCAGAGTCAGGCGTTTTGGTGTGGCTACAAAAGCCGGGTCACCGGGTCTTATACCTCAAAATGGGATTGGTGCTTCAAGGACGCTTGTTGCTGGAAGCGAATACCCGGAAGGACTATCTTTGCTTCTTGCTGGATATTGTTTTTCGAGCCGCTGCTTGCGCATGTTGCACGTTCTTTCAGCGTCAGCCGAGATCCTCGGCAGGACGAAGGGTACATGATTTACATGATGGCTCACCATTGAGACATGTTCAGCTTGGAGCATTCTACATTTGGGGAGGTCGCAGATTACTGGACCGACACATTGTCTTCAACTGAGGCCAGCGCAAACGATGTCGGCTGCAACGCCCCTTGGCAGACATGCGTAGCTCGCAGATCAATCACGTCTTCCCTACAAACGGTGCAATTCCATGCATTTGGACAATCTGAGAGAAAGGTTGTTTAGATTGTATGCAGAATTCTTTCGAAGGTGCCGTGATCCCCGGGGTTTGGTTGATCACCTTGCCCAGTGCTTCGATGCATGTTTTGGGTCCAATTGATACAGATGTGTTCTGGAATCCTTTGGGCAAAAAAAGCCGCCTGAAACATGTTTGGGAGCGAACAACCTGGCGCTAGTGTACCGAGCGGAATATGGGGCATGGCATGTTATTGAAATTGCGCTCGCTTGCTCGGATTTGCACCCCAAAAAAGCGCCCGAAGTTGTGCCATTCGAATGGCGCTCGAAGCGCAGGTCAAACGGCCAGCCAAGCCGTCTAAAAAAACTGGTTGTTTCGAATTGGGCAGAAAAAAACACTACCCCGAAAATGCAAGTGAGCACCTTTTTTTTTGTATGCATGGGATCTCCAGAATTAGTTTTGCGGTGACGAGACTGGTTTGAGCTTGCTTGGAGCCAAACAAGCGCTGCTCAAGTTGATCATTCCCCAGGCCAGCCCAGCCGATGAGGGCTACAGCGCCACTTGGTGATTCAACGAAGGCAGAGCGGCGATGAGGTTTCCGTCACTGTAAGGTTGACCCGAGTCAGATGTCAGATGCCCCGCCCAGATTCAAAACCTAGGACTCGTCTGGCTGATAGCTTGCAAAGCTCGTGGCGGTTCATCAATGCGTAGGCTTGGACAGAAATACTGTGCAAACTCTCAATGCTGTGCAAACCCTCACACATGTTGAAGAAGTTTTCTTTCAATTCCCTCTTTGCTTTTTTGAAGGCTGGTTTCTTGAGTAGTGTGCTCAGCTGTTCTTTCAGCTTCCGGGTCCTGAGAGGGTCGGTCGATGGAGTGCCATCGGCTTGCGGCATCGGCCGGTGGATCAACCCGAGGGTTCCTGGCGGTGCAAACGTTTGATCATTCGGACAATGCAAACAGGATGCTGTGTAATTTTGTCCTACTTCAAGACTTAGTTTTACTCCATTGATTTCGAACCCGCTCGCTTCATCGCGCTGCGGAGCTTATTTTGTCACGTTGGTTTTGAACCCCATGAACTACGTGCTGCCTGTTGAAGCTCTCCTTAGACTGATTGTTGCAGTTGCTTGATCCTTCCCAGATGCCGTGCAAGCATACAATAGTATTGTATAGTACTAGTAATATAAGACATACTTATAACCACACCAATGCGAATGATCTTAGTAACAACAATATACATAATGATAACAACAATATTAGCACTATGCATAGTAACTAAACAACAATACATTATATATTAATAACCATGAGCCGGTACTTGTAGCACCATGCATAATAATACCAATGATGATAACTATAATACTCGTAATTTAACAATAATAATCATGATAATAATAGAAACAACGACGAACAATCATTGTAATAATGCTGACAATATGGATAACTACAATACGAATAATAATAGTAACCACGATGACCATATTAATAACAACATCACAAACACATGATCATACTAGTCACACTGGTCTCATCATACACAATATTTGTAATACACGTCATAATAACAATAACACCAATAACAATCATAATCAATGATGATACTTTGGAGCTTCTCGCTCAGTCCGCCGACATTGCTGCCTTCATTTCTTGTTCCTTTTCCCTTCATTTCCATGTCAGTTGACCTTCGTTTCCCTTGCCTTTCCCCTTGATTGCCTCCATGTCAAAGCCGGAGCTGAGAGAACGTGAAGGCCACCATACCAATAGGTTTTCCTCGCTTCAGGCTTGGATCAGCGTGGACCATCTTGCGTCTTTTCCCAAAGGCTCCACATCCACCAGCTCAGGCGCCTGAATAACATCTCCTGGACGTGGCCCTCCGCCTAATCGGGCCCCCTCGATTTTGGCTCCACCTGCTTGGGTGTGTCGATTTTTGAGGGGACCCTTGGGTTATTTTAACGGGAAACCCAAGCCCATTTTGCGGGGTCCCCGATGTGGAGACACACCCGTATGTGTTGTTGCCTGTGAAGTACGCATCTGAGGCCAGCTCAGCCGCGGACAGCCGCGACGCCCCTCGGTGCAAACTTGGTTATAAAACGAGCTTGATTTATGGCAGATGACTCGGATTTAGGTGTGGTGCCTCTGTTGCTCGGCTAGAATTTCCAGGCATCTTTTTACAAAAGGCTTTGAGACAAAGTTGAAGCGTCTTGAGCAGCTTGTTGAACTAGTTGGTGAGAAAAGGGCATCCTCCAATTTTTTTGCGGCATGTACAATGCACAGGCATAACTATCCGATGGTTATTGATATATTGTACACGTGGTCGCATAGTTTTGCAATGGTACATGTTTGCAAGTTAATATGACTGCTTCTTTATGATATGCAGACGCGGGTTCCGGAACCTGGTGGTTTCGTTTTGTCGTTTTTTTTGCAATGCCAAGGGAAGGCATCTTTTCGTTTGTGGCAAGCTACAGGTATCCGCCACATATTAGTGGGCAAGGTTCCTTTGTGACAATGGATAAAGTTCCTACGATTCGAGGCTAAACATGCCATCTTGCGTGGGCAAATACTGAGGTGTGGTTGATATCCTATGATTTGCAAGTGAGCCAACATCCAACCGCAAATCCCTGGGTTTCCCTTCTCGCAGACTTGTGGTGCTCGTTTGTCCTAGTTTCGGAAGGTGTTGGTCCCCTTCAAAACCAATGAAAAATACAGGTTCAAAAGTTCCCCATGTCCTTGTTTAGGGGGTTTGTCCCCTTCAAACCCTCTGTTGCCCGCTGGTGCCCTTTTTTCCTTTTGTTGGGTAAGGGTTCGCCTTCAAGCTCCACCAACAAAAAGGGCGCCGATTCTTGTTTTCCCAGGGAAATCCACCGGGCATCTGAGAAAAAGCCCATGGCAAAAGCAAACAGTGCCCCGATTTTTCCCGGCGGATTGGCGTGTTCCCCTCGCAATCTTCCACACTGTGGATGGACAGAATCCTGCATTTCGAAACAGTGGAACGATGGTTTTCTTGTAAATAACAAGAAACAAGGGTTTCCCATGGTTTCTTTGGTGCGAAATGGATTTCGCAACCATCTAAAGTACGGCTAGGCCACGCCCTGAGGCCAAAGGCGGCGCCGGCGCCGACGCCGCAGACACCTGCGCCCGCCTGGAGCGAGCTGGGGGTGGGTAGTATCATTCCACCCTTGGTTGTATGCTAGGTGTTGTCCAAATATACCCTTTCAATTAACATGGAACCTAATCCTGTCAAACTTCAAAAGCAGTAAGCGCAGCAAAAGCATTAGGCAAGTCTACGTAAAACACGGTTTTTTAAGGAGGATAGAAATGTAGATCAGGGGAGGGGGTGGCCATGTATATATATATATATATATATATATGTAGATATCTAAACATATTTATAGTGGTTTGTCTCTGTCAGGAACCCGCCCGATGGTTCGCCCGATTGGTTAGTGGAAGCCTGCGGACTCAAACCTGTGGTCCATATATTGGTGGTGACCAATTACCATTGCCGTCCTCCTGCAACTTTTTGTGGCGCCGCGTGCCTCGTGCCTGTTCCAGAGGGTTTCTGTCCAACAACAGAGCACCCTACAAGGTTTTCCCAACAGGGTTTTCCAAACGATTTGCGCCAGAGGAAACCCTGAGCTGGGCGGCGCCCTCTTTTTGGCCTGCTCTTTCAGGCTTCGGTTTTTGTGTCAAGCTTTCCCTTTTCAAAGGGATGCTTGCGCGGCAGAGGCGTACACCTGTCCTTTTTGGGCACCGAATTCTTGTTGTTTTGACCCCTTTGATGGGACTTGGAAGCTATGGCATCTGGCGGTGAACACTGACAAGCAGGGACCCCCCCTGAAAAATATACTGAAAAATGACAACACCAAAAGTCCCGAAGTGAAACCCACCTCATGGTTTTCCCCCACATAAATCAAACCATGGTGTCGGGGGGAAGGAATCCTGGGTTCGCTGTTGCAACCATGGCTTCACATATCCACCAGCCAACCGGCCAGGAGTTCCCATTCGGATAAAAACGGAGATGCGTGGTTTTCCACAGCCAGCCACAAAACTTCGGCCACAAAAAGCGGGAGATTGAGCCCATCCAATTTTTCTCTTGGGGAACCTCCATATTTTTTCGATCCCGGAACCATCCCTCGTGTGTTTTTCTTTCACGGCAAAACCTCTGAGGTTAGTACTTGATGGGAACAGGCATGTGTTCGCAACCTAGCCTGGGGTTCGCACAGGGTTCGCCGGTTTAACCCCGTGCGTTCGCATAAAACCAGTTGGTTTCGGCTGGCCTTTTTCTGCTAGTTGCAGGTGCCTTCGCGAACATACGCGACCGTTGGTTCTGTTTGCAAACATTCGCGTAGCCTTTTTAGGTTGGCCAACGTTCGCCTTGGCCCTGCTAGTGCATTCACAGTCCCAAACCCCACCTACTTTCTTACTTATCATAGACACCAGCTACGGGAACTTCCACCGGAAACATGCCAAACCACCCACCAAAAGCTAGCTGCACCCTCCCTCCCACCGGCAACCCCTCACGTGCTGTTTTAGATGCTATCCAGCATCAGGATGGCGCGCCACGCCTCCACGCCGAACCTGTGGCCCACGGCCGGGGTTTGCAAGTCCCCACGAATTGGTTTTGGAGGGCGGTGCTTTGGAGAAACGTGACGTGGGTTTGCCATTTAATGTACCCTCCCACCAGTTCACCAGCTAACATGGAACCTGACAGGGGGCTCCTGGAAGATAATTTTCCATTTAAGGGGACATGTCAGGTTGGAGGGTCCCTGTGCAAGAACCATGGGTTGAAATCCAAACCCAAACCATCAATCTCCCAACCTCCAACTAGGCATGTGGGGAGGGGAGATTTGGGAAGGCTTGGAATGGGAAGCCCTGCTGTCCACTCTGTTTCCGCCTTCCGTTCTGACTTGTTGCCTGTGGGTCGGGTGGTTGTTTGTTTCAAGGGGTTGTTTGCGAGGAACCCTGTTTGAGCAACACGAAATGGGTGACCACTTCCCCTTGTGGCTGGATTTAGGTTTTGATTCTGGCTTGAACGAGTTGCCAAATACTGAAAGTCCGCTTTGTTTAAATGCCAATTGGCAATGAAGTTAGAAGAGTGCACTTGCTACCCTGCATTGGTTTGAAATTCCTGTGGCTCAAAGCGCTGGCCTCAAAGCGCTGGCCTCAAAGCGCTGGCCCAGAACTGCTTAGGATTGGTTTACAGAACTCGTAGATTGCTTTCTTTTTCTCCCTGCAAACATACATCATCCTTCCCTTGAAGGCTGTACCCCCTGAAAAATTGCCAATGGGCTTGGCTGTTTTAGTAGGCGCCAGAAAGAATTTCTTTTTTTTTTGGGCCTGTCAGTCGGTTCTGCTGTTATGCTGGCTTAGGGTTTTCTTAGAGTAGTCCATGACTATTCGGCTGTGAAATATTGTTCCAGAGTTGCCAGGTCTGGAGATCATTTTTTTTCTCGTGGATGGGCGGCATATTATTGCAAATCAAGCACTTTCAGCTTCTTTTCAGAGAAGGGAATCGTTGTGGGGCATGTTCTTTGTATAACCTATCGAATTATAATTCTCTACACGACATTAACATCGAACCGGAAAAAGGCGTTTCCTGCAGCAATGATGGTTTTCTGGGCTCCAGGTTCCGCAGAAAGTGACCTGTTTGCTGCTTAAACTTGAACCATGAAGGAAACAATACCCAAAAGAGCCAAGGGGGGAAAACAAGTGGAATATATTATTATCATTATCATTATCATTATTATTATTATTACTATTATTATCATTACTTATTATTATTATTATTGTTATTATTATTATTTAAATGTATATACCTAATTATACATATATATATATATATGTATGGTGAGTATAAATACATAAATGTAAACATCTGGTGAGTATTTTGCGGGCTTGCTTGTGAAGCCAAGCTGTTGGAATTCCTCTCGCACGGCTCGGCGGCGAACTGCTTTGCAGGTGCCACACGTGGCGCAGCGGGCCATGGTGAAGCCGCCCTGCGAGGACCTCCACGCAGCTGGGGCTGCGAAGTGGGGAGGTCGAGAGGTCGGGAGGCAAGATTAGCATGGGTATTCAGCCCCTTATAATGGGATCCCCGGATTTCTGATCCCCTGGTTGATTGTTAACGGCGTGTCGCCTTTTTCTTCGTAGGGATTCATCACTGGAGGGGAACACCGGAACAACCCCCCCACCTTTGTTTTGAAAGGACGGGTCTGTGTATCCCAGGTGTACATCCCGCAGTTTCCTGGAGGTGCCTTGCTCTTTTTTTTTAAATAAAATATAAATAGGACGGAAAGCATGAATCCCCTTTCCAGGGACCCATCACAGCGAAGTGCCGGCAGTTCGGAGAACTTCTCTACACGCCGAAGTGCTTCCTTTCTCGAGGCGACCACTCGCCTGCCGCGGCACTCCACGGATTCGCTGAACCCCGGCACGCCGATCACCGCGCGCTCCGCCCGGTCCCTGGGCACGCCCATCACGGCCCGCTCCCCGCGCACGCCGGTCTCGGCGCGGTCGCCGGCGGGGTCGCCGGTGATGACCTACCGCCAGGCGGGGAGTGGCCCAAGGGACAGGTGGGACGTGGGTGGGGGGGTGCGGTAAGAGGCTTTTGGAACGTAGTTCAGGAATTTTCACCCGGTGGAGGTTTGTGGAAATTGTGTAAGCTTAGAGCCTTTTCCACAAGAAACAGGTCAGATTTTGGTTAGTTTAAACAAATATCTTCCACAATAGGAAAGGCGCCTTTGAAAGGTCAGTCTTTTGAGGAAACCAACAGAACGTCAACCCTTTTCTCGGGGTTGTCCGATTTGGAGACACCCTCTTTCCATTTCTGGAACGGAGTTGTTGGGATACAACCACAGCGCAAGCAAAAAAAACAAACACATTTTCCTTTTGGCTTGGGGTGTAGCGGACATCCCTTCGCAAAGTTGCTGCGTCTCAAGATGCTCAACTTCCAAGAGTCGAACATTGGTGAGCAATGAGCAAGGGTTGAATTGCTGCCCTTGTGCCGATGCGGTCCTCAGAGCAATCCTGTTCAGATAATTGCATTTTTGCAGGTCAAACAGAGGCGGCGCCGGGTTGGATCCTGTAAAGACCTCCCAAGAGGTCGCTGGTTTCCCTTCAGAACTGACTTGTGAAGGGATTCGACCAGATCAAACGTCACTTCGAAACTGAATCACGACTGACTGAACACGGATTTTGGCTGGTCTCCGTTTGGCTCCCCTTTTTAACTGACTCACAAAGGGATTCTTCACTGTCCTTAGTTTTCTTAGTCTCATTTTTGTTCTGGATGGGGAAGGGGCGCACAAAATGTTTGGTTTCCGTTTAGATTACCCTGCTACCCTCAAACAGAAAACCCGTTGCCGCTTCAGGTGGGCAAGGGACACCGCCTTGTCGGGCTCAAAAGCCAGAAAACCCCCCATCTCCCCGTGGCTCAGCCACCTTCCCGCACTCCGCTTTCGCGCTTGCGCGCTTGTGCGGCGTCGGCTTCGGAATCGGCGCGCCAGGTGCGTCTCTCGCAGACCCCGCAGCAGGACTTCCGCGGGCGCCTCGCCGAAGGCGGGCCCGAGCCCGCCGAGGCGCCGCCGCCCTCGCCGGAGGCGCAGCGCACGCAGCGCCTCGGAGTCAGACGTGGCGCCGGGGGCGGGGTTGTTTGGGTGGGCTGCCGGGGGTGGAATTGGTGCGGTTGCTTTTTGTTTTGAGAGGATCTCCAAAATGGCGTTTTTGTTGGGTTTTCTTTGAGGTTTCCGTTTAGAGCCAACAAAGAAGGGGAAGGGGGGTGGGTCGTTTTTTGGCAGCCAAAAACGACCCACCCAAAAGGGTGTGTCCTTTTTGAAGTTCAACGGCAAACCTAACTCAACACCCATTTTGGGGTTTCCCTATGAAACATATGCAAGGTACGAAGCAATTACCAACAGTTTCCCCCACAATCACAACTTGAAAAGCACTCCAAAAGCCAGTCCTAGTGATTTGGGGCAAAATGATAAAATGACCGGGCTATGCAGAATCAATCGGCACGATTCTTACGTGTAGTGGTTTCCCTTGAGATGTTCCTTGAAACTCGTTCATTCTACCCTTGGACCCTTGGATTTGGGTATCTTCCCCAACCCACCTTGGTGGGACCGGCTGCCAAGCAACCCAAGTTTCGACTTGTCCGAAAACCAACGGGCATGTAGTTGTTTTATTTGGAAAGGCCCTTCGAAAGGGAACGATACATCCACCTGATCCGATTTTCCCAAACAACTGTTCGATTGCTGACCCCCGATTAAACAAACGGAACATATGGGTGTGCTTGGTTTTTTTGGGACCCCCAAAATGGCGGTCGTCCTTTTGCTTTCCTAAAAAAAAAAAAAAAACGACAACGGGGGCACCCTCGAAAAAGGCACACCCATATTCGGACACCCTTCGATTGGTCATTTGTTTGCACTTGGTGTCAGTTTGGGGCCTCTTCATTTCGAAATAGGTCTGGTGGGTGTGCCATCCAACCTTTGCACTCCGCCAAGAGGGCAGGTTCTTGTAAAACAGGTTCCCTGAAAGGATGCATGTACAGGTCACCTGGTACCTTGAAACCTGTGGTAAAGGGTGGTTTGTGGTTGTGCCAACAAGCCAACAAGTGTCGTTAACTTTAACTGGTCTTTGGTGTGACCTTAGCCTCTAATACCTCCTGGAAGCAAATCGCTTTTCCATGAAACCTACAAAAGCTTAGACCCTTTGCTCAAGGGGGAGGATTACGCAATCCAGTGAAGTAACCCCAACAAATGCGGCTGCACCCCGCGAAGTGGCCGGGGAAATGCGAGGTCGCCTGTGAAGCCGAAGGCCCTGCGAGACGTCCCAGAGGAGGCCTGTCTTGGCGCGTGTGCGGAGTGACCACGCGCGGGTTGGCACGTAGTGTCCGGCTGTGGCCTAAAAATCGGGGCCCCAAACGGGTTGCCCTGGCGAGTGGAAAAGTAGACTGAAACCTGCGTAGCCCTGGGTCTTGACTTTTGAGCCACACCCCTTGTGGTCCCGCTATGTTTAAGTCTTCAAGGTTGTTTGGCGCTGGCCTGGCCGAGCGCCGGTCGGCTGCGGAGGTAGCCAGTTACGTTGGCCTCTTTCTAGAAATATCCTGGTGTTTATTCGTGGAGTTGTGTGATGGAGATACGCATTGGGGCTGGCCAGCGCGAACCCTTGAACTTTAGACTTTAGACGGCTGTTTGTGTAGTTGTCCTTCAGCCGTTGCTTGAAAGAAAAGTTGAGTGTACCCTAGTTGATGCTAACATAATAATTCCGCATTTTTTGTGGGTTTGGGGCAGGGTCCAAGTTCAGTTCCAGAAACAAAGAAGCAAGTCAGCGGGAAATTGTCTGTTGAACATAGCTCTGAACAAATTAACGGAGAAGCAACCTCAAGATCCTCCTTCGGGAAGGTGAAATACAGCAACTGCAGAGTGCTTGCAAGGACCCCCTCCATATTTGTGGCAGGCAGTTTCGACCAGCTCCCAAACCGCTCCTTCACTTGGGGTTACTCGTCATGGCTATCCACCTAGGTTTGGAGTTTAATTTCAAGCAGAGAGTTGCCTTGGCCGGTCATGAAACCTGGGGTAGTCAACCTGATGATTTCGGTCGGGTTCAACTTTTGGCCCCGATTTCGGATTTCCCATCGCGCCTGGCAAATGAAATGGAAGGGTGTTGCCAATTTTAAGCATGCCCGAAGGCCCAGTCGTGACCTCTACCAACAGAGAACAAACAGACAGCCAGACAGACAGACAGACAGGCTGATATTTTGGGTCAGCGCCTACGTTTGCCCAAATTTGGCCCCAGAGCGTCTCTAAATGTGGCCACCCTCTTTCCAACAATCATGGAAGTGGTGAAGTGGGCAAGGTTCAGTATCACCAGGGTTCCCTTTAGAACCGCCATAACCTCCCAAACCAAAAAAAGCCGCGCGATCCGCGCGTGGCGAACGGGTATCGCTGGCTTCAGTGCCAGGACGAGCTCCTTCGCCCGCGCATGGCCGGGGCCCCGGGTCGCTTTTTCGCCGAGGCGTGGAAGGCACCGGCTCAGGGGGTCCTAGTTGGGTGTGGCTCAAAATGAAACAGCCCAGCAGCAACCCAACAGCCCAACAGACAAACAGCCCGTCAGCCCAACAGCCCAACCCAACAGCCCAACAGCCCAACAGCCCAACAGCCCAACAGCCCAACAGCCCGACAGCCCAACAGCCCAACAGCCCAACAGCCCAACAGCCCAACCCAACAACCCAACGGCCCAACAACCCAACGCCCAAAATGGTGACACAGGTTTTGGTCCATGTTTCCACTTACTTCAGACCTTGGGACCTCAAGGCGAAGGAGCAACCCCGCTCTCTCAACATCCTGGATTTGGGGGAACTCTGGGCTCGCAAAGAAACATGGAACCCCAAGGGCGGGCCAAAAGGAGATTCTCCTAAGCTCCCGTTTTCGGGTGACCCTCGAAACATCGACAGGGTATGCCATTTTTGAGGTCTTTTCTCTTTCAGGTCTTGCATGAAAACCAGAAAGAAAGCCACAATCTTGGCTCAGCTGCCCAAAGTACCCAGGAACAACACGCTAACCGTTCCGAATCTGGACTAAAACTGGACCACATTAGTGAAAACTAAAGGTGAAGAGTCAAGTTGGGGGTCCAACCTTAAGAACGACAGATTTGTCCGAAGGCCTCTTCCGGGGACTGAACTCATAGGGTGAACCGCCCTGGATCGCCAGTTGCGTTGGCTTTTTTCCCTCCAATTTACCCCCAAAAACCGATCGCAAGAGTGACTGAAACAAAACAGCCACTTGGCGAGCTAGGGCAATACTTCGCCTGATGGGAGCTAGGCCGTGCTTTGCGCATTTGGGGTGATTTCTCCCCAAGCCCAAGCCCAAGAAAGGCGGTGGGCGGAGGAAAGACGAAGCGCGGCGCGGCCACGGTTTGAAGGACTGCGGCTTGTGGCCCGTTTTGAAGGGCTTAAGTGGGTCAACGGAGTCGTGGAACCAAGGCAGAGGTTGGAATATGTGACAGACCGAACATGGGCATGGATCAAAATTGAAGCACCGTATGGACCGCAGGTTTCAGTCTTTGCTTCCATTTGCCAGGGTTCCCGTTCGAGGTACCGATTTTTGACCCACACCCACATGGCTCCTTTTCTCCCAAAGATCCCAAAGCAAAGAATCCCAGCCCCTGCTTGCTGGTGCGAGACGTAGGGAATGAGAAATGGAATGACCCCAATAAAAAGGTATCCAACCGGCTTAATGTTTCCTTCAAGTTTTTGAGTTTTTTCAGGTTCATTCCAACTCATTCCCTGAAAGAGAAAAAGCAAAACACCAGTGGCTCTTCTTTTTTTTCCCTCTTCTTTTTTTCAGGGTCATCCCCAAAACCGCCCATTTGTTTCTTCGGGGTCCTCCCCCAACATCTCCTCTCTCCCGCTTTTCTTCCCCCGCCTGCCCAGCGCGGCTGGCGCAGGTGGCGGTGCCCGCGAAGCCCCAGCGCTTCGTGTCGAACCGCGCCACCGTGCCGGTGGCCGGGCCGGCGCCCGGGGGCCCACGGGCCCACGGGCGCGGGGAAGGGGAACGCCGGTGGAACCGAAAGCCAGGGGCGTGTTTGGAAGTGGGGGGGTGGTCCAAGGGGCTTTAACTGAGGCCTGGTTTTAACTGGGGGGGGGGATATCGGTTTGCCCCTAGGGCCGACCTTTTGAGCTTTTTGTTGTTTTTTTTCAGGGGTTAGACCTGCTGTGGATGGTTGAGCAATCCATTTCACACTTGAAACCATGTTAAAGTAGTCTTTGCAGGGCAATTGAATCATTTCAGGGTTTCGTGGGTGGTGCAGGATTTCGTCCATCCACAGTATGGTTGAAACATGGGGTCCCTCGAAACGCTGCTCCACGCAGGAAAAGCTCCCCTTTACGCTTTCGGGAGTCGCCACCTCTTGCGGGCTCAAATTCTGATGGATTTTTTTGTTTTCACCAGATGGCTGAAAGCTAAAAAAGGTGCAAACAATTTGCTATTTGGGGTCTATACTGGGGTATTTGTTTCCTGACCACTCTAATTACTCACATGCGTAGACCTCCGGGGGTGGCCCGGAGGCCCTTTAAGGAACACATTTCTTGGGTGGGTGTGTCGATTTTTGCTTTTTCAGGGCTCCGACTCTTTTGGGGTACGGAGCCAAAGGAAACCCGCCCTTTTTTGGGGCCCCTTCTAAAGCAGGTGCCTTTTAAGACAGCCTCAAACAGATTGGCGCCCGAAGTGCCAAACCGCCTTGAGTCCCACCGCTGCGATGGATTCACCAAACTTCAGATCACTGGCGCGTTTTCAGCCAGTGTTCGCTTTGATTCGCTCGGTTTACTCCGAATAAGCTTGCTGTTTAATTGGAGGGATAATATATGATATATAATGGTGTATACATATATATATATATGTATTGTAGTGATTGACGTTGCGTTTCATGTTGTTATTGTTGAGGATTTTCACACATAAATAATGCAATGCTTGAGGAATCATATTGCCGTTTGTTTTCATGCTCTTGCTCACTTGACTAGGGAGCTGTGTCTAGGCTGAAGCGACCAAGAACCCGTGAAGGCGGATGAAGGTGGTCATGACCTGTGCTTTTGCCAGTGAATGTCGCTCGGCCCAGATGGTGGCTTTCCTTTGACACCACAAAACAACTTGCTGGCGCTCAGCAGGAAATGAGGGAATGCCCCCCATAAACCATTTCTTGTGGTTTCCTGTAAGGGAACCTTCAGGTTCATATCCCTCATTCCCTTTCTATCGCAGCAGCAAGACAAACAAGACGCGTTTATTCAGGGAATCAACCCAATCTTGTTCGCTCTTCCAAATCGTTTTCGCCTTGATGTCTGGTCAGAGGGTGTTGGACAGGGAAGGTCCCACGAATTGGGGTGAAACATCTCCTTGTGGTGGTTGATGGTTGATGAAGTTGTTTTTTTCTTCTTGGGAGGGTGATGTTTAAAGTAGATAGCGTGTCAGATCCGTCTGTCACATCTGTCTATCACAGGCTCTGTTGGTGAGCGTGCGATCCGCTTGTCGCTCAAAGTCTAACAACCCCAAACCTGTCGGCTGGAGAATAAAACAAACAGCAACATCATCCAGCCCATATTTGCGGGACAATGGCCGCCTTGTGTAATTGTCGAAACAACACCCTTGGCACTTCTTGTCGAACTCCTTTTTGGTGAAAGCGGCAATGTTCTCAAGCAACCATGCCTTCCCAGGAGGAAAAAACATCTCAAAACCACAAAACAAAAGCAAGCAACGCAGGCAAGGCAAGGCAAACCGAATTTGTCCGGAGCCTTCGCAAGCCTCGCGCCGGCCTGAGGCCCAAAGACACCATCTTCCCCAGCAGCTCGCGGCCACGGGCGTGGAGCCCCGGAAGCGGGCGCTGCGTGGCCGTCTTGCAGACCCAAGCGGGGGCCCTTCGTTTTTGGGGGGAGCGTGGGGTGCACGTGTTCTCCAAAAGCTGAAGAGAGAGCTTCTGAGTCACTTGGGTTCTGGAGTTTCGCGGTTTTGCGTTTTGCCTGATTGGGTTGTTGGGGGCAATTGTTAGCCGGGCTTATTGGGTTGCTCGAGCAATGCGCTGAACAGTGAGCTCCCACAGGGAGTCCCCGTCCCCGTGAGTGTTGCAACATTCCGGCACAATCTGGGAAGTTCTGGAAACGCTCTTGTCGGGATGCAACATCACGGCAGGAGGCGGCAAGCAACCTGGTTGCCTGGTTGGCTTAGCCACTTAGCCCCCGACGCTTGGGAGTTTCGTTTTGGTGGCGTGATATCTGCAGAGGGTCGGGTTGTTCGTGCAGGGGCGATCCATGCCGGTGACACGAACTTCCCTGATTTTTCCACATTGGATGATTATTGTTGGTTGAGAAATTCTCTGTTGCCCAGCTGTGCCCCTTTTTTTTCGTTTTCTTGGGTAAGGGTTTCCCTTTGCTTCTTTTTTTCCATGGAAATCCATCTGTGATTTGGGTATGGGTCAAAACCAATGGTACCATTTTGGGGTAGGTGCACCGCCCATTTTAGTCCATGTTAGTGGGGGTTGGGATTTTCACTGGGGGGTACGATTTGGCTTTTGACCCATTTGGGTTGGTTCGCAAACCAGCCGGACCTTGGAACGTCCAACACCCCAACCATCGATGACCCTCCGACGGTCCGAGCCGCGAGGCGCGCATCCAAGTGGTGCCGCCATCGACACCTCCCCACGCGCACCGCACGGTGCTAGGCGGGGCTCTGGCGCTCAGATGTCGCCCTCGGCCGTGTGGTGCTGCATCCCGGACCCCGGTGCGTTGTCATGTTTTTGAGGGCATAGGTGTCCTGTTTAGGCTGGATTGGATATGAATACATGGCACTAGACTAGATTGGTCAATGACACTTTATTACCAGGAACATCAATTTTCACAACAAAAAGGTGTCTTGTTGCGGGTTTTGCAGGGAAACCAAGCGGCAAACAACTTTTGTTTTGGGGGGTTCCCCAAAAAGACAGTTCATGTGTTGAGGGGGTTCCCTTTGACCACATGGGCACAACCGCGATTTCTGGCCGCTGTGAAGTTGGCCGACCCAGAATTTCTGCTTGCCAGGCAGAGCCATCAAGCAATGAGCAACGCTCAGAGCTTCAAACAGTCAGCCGAAAGAGGATGACAACGCTGCGGTGATTTAACTCCTCAGTTGTTCAGCAGCACCCTGGTTCCCCTTTTTGTTTGGTGGCTGCCCCACTAAAAATGGTCTTCCCATGTCTTCCCCAAAAAGGGTTCCCTTTTTTCCAGGGTCACTGAAGAACTGAGACTCCTACTAATGGGTCTGCATGAGGCAGTGTACCCACCACGTGTATCCCATGAATTCGCAGACACTCCCTGTGCATTCACTTGCGCTCGTAAATCGGATACGGTCCAAAGGGAGGGTTTTCTGTTCAACAGGGCTCCTACAGAAGGGCCTAAGTGAACGGCAGTCTCGCAACTGTTTAACTGTAGGGGCAGCGACACGTTTGCCGTACCAGGGTTTGGGATTCTATGCAATGGTTGGCGTTGCTTCTCCGCAACTGGGAAGGGATGGTTCACCACCACGCTGTGCGGTTGAACCCCCGGTGAGGGGGACATGTGGCGCAAGGCCTCGTTCCAAAACCCCCGGCTGTTGGACCATCCGACTGCGCAGGGCGCGGCCCCGGTCCTTTGCGGGCGCGGGCCCGAGCGGGCCCTCGCACCCTCGGGCTGTGTAGAGCGCTGCTGGCCCCAAGCCTTGGTTCTTTTGTTTCTTTTCTCTCATTTTCCGAGTTCCTGGACTTTAAGCTCATTTGGGATGACAAGTTTCAGTGGCGAACAAGAAGTTTGGACCTTGTCTTGCCAATCCACTCAGGAAGTGAGTGGTTGGGTCAATTCAGTTGAATTCCCTTCAGTCGCACCAGTGTACTCTCTTGCATTTTGGTCACTGGAGGTCTAGACCGTTCACTGAAAAAGGCGTCATATGTTCTTACCGGTTCCCCAGAGAAGGGTTTGTCCTCAAGCGAGCCACAATCAAAACCCGGGTAGATGAAGGTTAGTAAGGGACAATCCCAACCATAAATAGCTGCGGCCGCCTTCTTAACTCCTTACATGGTTCTGGGTAGACCAATTCCGTACCGGGTTTTGATTGTGACTCAGGTTTTGTGTGGTAGATGAAGGTTAGTAAGGGGCAGTCCCAGCCGGAAATAGTTGCAGCCGCCTTTCTAAATCTTTACATGGTTCTGGGTTCACCATTTTTGTACCAGGTTTTGATTGTGACTCATTTGGCGATGCCTTTTTTGGGGTACTTGTTTTTCCTTCTTCTGTTGTTGTAATTGAAAGAACCCCCGTATAACACGCCCCATTGCGACGATGCTGCCCCATGTGGTGACACGCCCATTTGGAGGAAGCAACTTCTTGTCCATTACCCTGCAGCTGCCAGCGGGTCCTTGGGGATTGTGAAACAGTTGGTACGGCTGGGCAGATTTTTTTACTCGAAGCTTCCTTGCCGGCTGGGGAGGGCACATTTCGGAAACGGAGATCCGGCAATCTGTATTCCCTTGCTCCCAGCCATCCGGTTCCTTAGCTTTTTAGCTTTTCAGTCTGTAGTGGGGTTTTCCATTTCGCCCACTAAAAGTGAAACTTTCAGCGGGGGATCTGAGGACAGTTACTAGTCTCGCAGTCTTTGTGTGCCGTACGGGTTCAAGTAAAGCGAGACGCTTGGTTCAGTGTGTGCGGAAAGGCAAGGTCACAATGGGCCTGTTGCTTGAAGTTGCAACTGCGTAGCCCAAGGACGGTCTAACTGGAACTCGAGCAGCTCCATCTAGATGAAACAGAAGGTGCGTCCAACACAGAGTCCCATATCTCTCCATTACCCATAAGGAAAAACATTGGCACGTGTTTGTTCGCGCACGTTGGACGGCGTGGAACTACTTTCGTCACGTGTCATATTGAGCCAGCTGAACTTTCGCCATTGAGAAGGGAGCACAACCAATTCCACGGCCATTGAGAAAGTTCCGCCGCTTGGCCCGTCGAGTCTTGGACCCATCCAATCCCAGATGGCTCAAACTCACGGGCGGTGTCCATGCAGAACCCTTTGTAGGCGAAAACTCCCCTACCCAACGGAAGAAATGTGGGCTTTTGGTCAAGAAATGCCCGATCGGTCTGGATCGTTTGTGGAATTTCGGCCAGGATACAGCGATCCTTTTGGGGAAAGCAGGGCCAGAGCCCACAGCGAAGATATGAGTGTTTCCCAAGCTGGATTTCGGACCCCCTTTTGGTAGTCAAATGGAAACCAATATGTGTCAAGCCATTTTAAGAACGTTCCCTGTTTCGTGTATTGCCCATGTTGACGTTGGGCCTTTTCAGGCCGAGTTGCGCGGAACTCTGGGGGCTGCTCGGCGGCAATTGGTGCTTTCCACACAGAGTATGGCCCTCCACCTGAAGGAAGTTGCCACCCCGGATGAATAAACCCCTCCTATTTATTCGGGGGGTGTTCCCCAAGAGTGGTCTGCTTGCCCACTAGACCCAGGCTCACAACCCCAACGAACAGGGGTTGATGAAAAACGGGGGGTCCAGACTAAGATCCTGGAAGCCAGGATTTGGAAGACTTGGTGACCCATTTACAGCTTCTGGCGGTTAGTCTGCGGGAGTGGGGCGGGTAACAAATTTAATAGTTGGTGGGCAAAGCAACAATCTTGTGGAAATGATGCCCACAGTTGTACGATTCGGGCCGTGAATAGCCTTTAACTCGTTGGCTACGGGTGCCTTTAGCAACTGGATTCTGTTGGAAGCCACTCGACGAATTTTGCAACCCCCTAGACCTGCTGCGGAGGGACAACACGCTCGGCACCAGTTGGGATGGAGAATTGCTAAACCACCAATCGCGTAACTGGTGCAGGAATTTGTCCACAGAGTGCAGGCAAGGGCAAGTCTGCAAAAGGGCAGGGTAAGGCCAAGTGTGGCATTGCTTTTCCTGGCACAGACATTGAGCTAATCAACGTAACTCCAGATGGTCGACAGATTTGCTACGCGTACAACACGGGCAAGTGTGATGGCAAGTGCGGGGCGCATTCACATGTCTGGAGCTGTCAACGGAGTTTGCCACTGTGTGTGACAAGTACACAGCGGATGTGATTGAGAAGCCCGACTTGGGCATTCTCAAGCAAGCCAAGCACGCGGCTGACCTCCTCATCATCATTCAACACATGATGGACCTTCGGGATCAGCGCGAACAGGAGCATCTTTCATCGCCAGACGGCAAAAGCTTGCCCAGCAATCGATGGCCGATGGAGACTACTCGGAGGCCGACGGCTGGCTAGACAAGGACAGGACCACTGACGACGCAGTGCGTCAGGCCATCACGGAGACGCACCAAGAGTACGCAAGGGCCATGGATAACTATACAATACTTGGCAAAAAAAAAGGCAGCTAGCAATCCACCGAGCCTCGACCCCACGGCAGAATTTCTGGTGTTTCAGCCAAACGTTACATGATCCCAAGGTCCCCCCCCCCAATCCGACCCCCCCCCCCCCCAACCCAGCAGTCATGTTCAGGCAGCCCCATTCATCCTACCTTTTTCGTGGCTGGAGGTGAGGCTGAGCGTAATTTTTCTCAGTTCCTGACTTCATTGTGACTATTTTTTCGTCCGGAAGACCATTTTAGTGGCAAATAAGAAGTCTAGGGGCCTTTTTTTTGGCCAGTCTCCACTCAAAAGGTGAGTGTTTACTGTATCACGTTTTTCGTATTCCTTCCCTTGGTGGTCTGGATTGGTGTGGATTTGAGTTTGAACCCCGGTTTCGTGGAGCAGTGGAAAACCACCCAACCTCCATACCTCCAAAACACCGTGCTGCAAACCAATTGGAGGGAAGCTGACACCAGGTTTGGACCTTTAGAACGGTATGTGTTTTTTCAACAAGCGCCAACCACGGCTTCACGGTCTTCCTTTTGGTTTCCCTTTAAGCCATCAAACAATCCCAAACCCGGAGCGGCAACACCCAGATCCACCACCACCCCAAGCCCCACCCCAAGGCACCCCACCCCACCCCATCCACCCCTCCACCCTCTCATCCAAAGGGCCCGAGGGCTGTCGCCTTCGAATCCGAGGCGTTGCTGAGCCCCAAAGACCGAGACCTGAACCGTGAGCTGCGGGAGGTGCCGGCGATGCCCGGCCACCCGGTGGTCCGGCAATGGCTGCAGGGTGCCGGGCAAGGGGGAGGGGTGCGGGGGTGATTCTTTGTTAGTGGGAGTCCCGTGTTTTTGTTTTGTTTTGGCGACTTCATATTCTTCTTTGGGGATTTGGCAGATCACAAGTTTGGACTCTTTTCAGATGAGTTTCCTTTAAAAGCTGATGTTTGAAGGAGGACATGTACGGACCCCTGCTGGAGGCCCGCAGCTGATTGGATGATGCAACCAAGACCAGAACCATGTTATGGGCCTATGATTTGACTGTGTCCAGCGGCTATCAAAGTCAGAAACTGGCTTCATTTGTCTCGATCCGACTTGGATTCGTTCAGCTAAGTTAGAAGGTGGTTGGCCACTCGGGGTAAAACCGTAAAATCTTATTAGCAAGGTTGGCTCATCTTAGGGGGACTGTTCAGTGGGTTGTAATATAACCTAGTACTGGGGCTGAGTATGGCTGCAGAGGCTGCCAGGGGTGAACTCACCAACCTTAGCTGCGACCCTATCCAGATGCATGAGGCTTCCTTTCCAACTAGGTCCCCCAGCTAAGTGCCAACTTTTACCGTTTCTTTTCTGGGGGAGGGTTCCCCTATTTAACATGGACTACAGAAAAAGTTGGTACCAACTTATTCTAAAGTCTCTACTGGAGGACCTAGCCCATGTATGAGAATTCGCCCAGATTTCGTCCCCATTGCGGGTCACGCAATTGTCAGTCCCCCCCCCCCCCCGAGCTTGTTGTTTTTGCGTCCCGCTTGAAGGATGCAAGCTCCTTTTTAATCAGGCCATTCAGATTGAGTAGTCTCTCAACGTACGGACAAGGACCCAACAATTTTCTCCTATTACTGTGGATGGAAGAAATTCTGTACCACCTAAGAAGCCCTGAAATGATTCGATTCCCCAACGTAAATACCGTCAAATACTAACAAACTATGGTTTCAACCATGGTTTCATTTCGTGTTGCGAAATGATTTTCGTAGCCCTCCAGAGTGCAGTAAACCCAATATTGGTTTGTTGGTTTTTACGGTTGGAGTCGAATGTGCACGGCGCGAGAAGCGCATTTCGAGAAGCCATCGAGGCCCTTTGCGACGCAGTCCATGGCAGTGCCCAGCACACGGCCCACGTCTCCGGGCAGGCGGTCGAGTGCGAATCCGGCTGGCGGGGTTTCGGGGAAGAAAACGCAGGGTGCGGAGTGCCAGCTTGGGCCGATGAGAGCCTCAGGTACTGGTAAGAGTACAGGCCGGGGTTGGATCAGGAACGATGCTTGCTCTGGCCGGGCTTTCGTCGTATTTGCGTACAATCGTGACTTTGTAGAGTGTGGAAATGCATTGCGATTGCGCAGGCTCGTGGCACACAAATCTTGACAAGAGATCCCAGACATCTTGCACATCCTCCAAAGATATCTTGCGCAGGTCCTTCATTGGGATCCTTTAAAGAGCTCTTGCGCAGGACCTGGGAATCTTTCCTCCTTTCATGGATCCTGTGCACACATCTTGCCAAGAAACCCTACCCAGACATCTTGTGCAGAGATCCTGCAGTAGAGAGGATTGTCTCAAGCGGTCTCGCTCAGACCCTCGGAGGATTCTGTGTACAATCTTTCCAAAAGCTCCTCCCGAGAGATCCTATCCACAGATCATGCGCACAGATTCTGCCACTCCTTCAAGGGAACGCGCAGAGATGTGCGTTGTCCTTCTAGAGGTCCTCCCAAGGGGTCTTGCGCAGGACCTGCAAAGATTTGCTTTGAAGGGATCTTGTAGCGGGTGCTCCCTACTCGTAGAGGGTCCTCTGAGATCCCGGCCAGGCCGGGAAATTCAGCCGACAGATCCTTCCCACACATCTTGCGCAGAGGTCCTGCAAAGACCTCCCCGCAAGTATCTTAAGACAGTCGGGGTCTTACGCGGGACCTGCAAAGATTTTTTTGCGAGAGATCTTGTAGAGGATGCCCCCAACACATCTGGGACAGAGCGCTTGCAGAGGGTATCTTGCGCTGGTCCTCCGTAGAGATCCTCAACAGATCTTGCGCAGGACCTGCCAAGGTTTCATGTCGCGACAAAGATGCTCTCTAACTGCAAGAGATCTTAGCAAGGGACCCTACCCAGAGATCCTGCAAGGGAGACCTTCTCCAGCAAATTAAAGAAACGCTGGCAGAATTCCTTTCGGAGAAATGTTGCGCGGAACCTCTTTCCACAGGAGATCTCGGGTAGGAGGTTGAGAAGGCTTCTCTCTGAAGGGCGCGCGCAGGACTTTCTATAGAGACTCTGTGGCTACTTTCATATGACTGTTGTGGGTCACTTTTTGGGGCCACTTTCCGGGATCATGTTGAAACCACCCTTCTTTACCTTCGACTTAAACGAAACCACAAGGAAGCCAACCATTTTGAGGAAGCCCAAGGCTTATTGAGTGAGGCGGTGCCATCCTTGTTTGAAGTTGGTGGCAGTTTCCAGAGCTGGGCGGAGCTCTGATTTTGTGGGGCGTTGAAAGGGGGACCGCAGGAACCCCTCCAATCTGCTGGTTTCCCTGTTCCCAGACATGCCCAACATGTGGCAAAAAAACCCTCCCAGGCAGCCCTACTCAAAGAATCGTGGAAATTCTCGAAGCTGGGCTCCTTGGCGTGGCAAAAACGATTGGAACTCTATTTGTCCCCAGGTTCCTTGTATGCCCCACGTAGAGGAAATTAAACGAGAATTGCAGTAGCGATGTTTGGGCAAGCCTACACAGCTCGAGCCGCGCCAGGCTGTCGCCGTGCCGCGCTGTACCCACGCCGCAGCACCCGCGGCGCACCGCCAAGAGGGATTCAGATTGATTTCGCCTGGCTTTGTGTGTGTCTGCTTGTTGTCTTGAAGGAGGCTCATGGTTGGCGCCGTGGAACAAGCAAAGTTTGACTTGACGTTCAAGTAGAGGAGTAGGGGCTTCTAGTCAACCGAACTGGGCGACTGCAGGGCTGCTTGCCCCTTTGACCATTTTCCCACGTAACCAAGTCCTTTTCAAATTAGCCCTCATGGCGATGTCTACAGCAAGCAGCTGTTTGCTCCAAAACCAAGCATACCGAGCCATGTTGAACTCAGGGTCTTCGCGACGACGTTGGCGCCCACGCCGGCCACTCCAGTGCCGGGGCCATGCCCTGGGCTGGTGGCCGTGCGAGGCGCGAAGCTGGCGCATGTCGTGGTGGCGGTGTTGCTGCGCGCAGTGGTGATGGTGATGGTGGTTGGGGTGGTGGTGGTGGTGGTGGTGGTGGTGGTGGTGGTGGTGGTGGTGGTGGTGGTGGTGGTGGTGGTGGTGGTGGTGGTGGTGGTGGTGGTGGTGGTGGTGGTGGTGGTGGTGGTGGTGGTGGTGGTGGTGGTGGTGGTGGTGGTGGTGGTGGTGGTGGTGGTGGTGGTGGTGGTGGTGGTGGTGGTGGTGGTGGTGGTGGTGGTGGTGGTGGTGGTGGTGGTGGTGGTGGTGGTGGTAGCGGTGCTTTGCTTTGCCCATGGTTACCCGACCCCCGTTGCCCGCTGCCAATATTGCTGAGCGCGCCTGAAGCCACGGCCCCGACCGTGCCTCCGGCGCGGGGTGTGGGTTGATATGACCCCTTGCCAGCAGTCGCTCGGGCCTGATTGCTGTAGTGGTTTAAGGCGGGTCTGGGTTGGACTTGGACTTGCGAATACTTTGTTTAGTTTCGCCAATCCTAAGTTTAGAATCGCCAAGACTTACTCTCAGATCCCCAGTACTTAATTTAGTATGATGTATGCCCAACTCTCAATTTCGCTTTGCCGAGACCTTCTCCCAGATTCCCAGCACAGAATGTGGTATTGATATGGATTTGATCTTGGAATCTTCCACCGGCCCAAACAATGTGGTTGAAGAAACCTTCGAACCGCTCAGGTTGAAGAGGGTGCGGGGTACCATGGGGTACCCCTTTGTGTGACCCCTTTCCGATGACTGTTGGTCCTTAGTCTTTTTGTCAGGTGTTTCTGTACAGAGCGGTTGGGGGACCACATCAGAAGCGGGGATTTCTAGATCTAAGTGAGTCCTTTAATTCGGAAGGACTTAGATAAGCCGCCCTTTGAAAGCAAAAGGCTAAGGTTTCGATCTTGGAATTCACGCACCCAAAAAACCTTGACATTAAAGTGAACCTCAAAGCAGTCAGATGAAACAGAATCAGGGGCTTTTGTGGGGTTTCCTCCTCTGGGCAAGATTGTCTGGCCTTGTTTTTCTATCAAGGGATTTACACAAACGTTCACGTTTTTGGGACGTCAAAATTAGCAATTCTTAAATCTAAGGCCGGGAAGGGCTTACAGAACCCCCCTCGAAAAGTAAAAGGCTAAGGCTTTGATCTGGCATTTGTGTCTTTGTTGCCCGTATGTTTCCTCCGGCAAGAAAACTTTCTGTCCTGAAGAAGGATGACAGCTCTATGAAAGCGACAGGTTTCAAAGCGGGTCCACACTTACTTGTCTGCTATTGGGCTGGATCTTTAGACTTTAACTTTTGGGAAACCAAGGGGTTTTCCACAAAACCCCAAAAAGTTAAACTTTTTGCCCAAGCTTAGAAGTGCCTGGAACTTGCAGCGATTTCCTAGTTGTTGCAGTCCCCGGAGACTCACGTGCGCGCGCGTTCCGAGGGGCGCTGGTTTCCCCAAGTTTGTGCAAGTGGTAGGGCGTGCCCGCCCTTTCCGTTGACACCCCCCTCCCAGCCCAAAATTTACGTGCGGATTGTCCGGAGGAGACAGCCTACGTGGGTAATGTGCTGAATGGCGGGCTGCCGTTTCTCATGTAGGTCTGAGGATGTTGATTGCAGATTTTGTTTCTTTGTTCGCTTGGCCAGGTTTCGGCGAGCGCGTGGCAACTAGGACAGGGCGCCGGGAGGGAGTTGAGCTCGCCTGAAGCTGCCAAAGCCATTGTTTGGCGGTGGTTTTTGGGGGACGCCCTGCATGGCTTCATACGGGAAACCTGTTACGTAGTCTTTTGTTACGCAGCCCATTGGTTTGTGGGGATGTGTTTATTGCGAATCACACCCACACACACACACACAGACGCCAAACATGCACACATTCACACCCACAAGCACACACACACAAACACGAACCCGTGTGCCCACGCACCGCACCGCACCGCACCGCACCACTGCACCAACACAGAGAGATGTACACAGACACAGACACCATCATAGTTGCAGTCACAGTCTCACACACACACACACACAACGCCCGTGCCCGCGCCCACGCCCATAAGCATGTATTTTTCGGGCGGTTTCATGAGAGTTACACTTTTGCGCAAGGAACATATTTACATGCCGCGATGCCACCAGAGGGGACGCGATGGCACAAGGACTGTGCGGCAATGGGGCCTCAATCCAGAGATGTGCCTTGGCCCTGTGAGAGGTTGGGCTTGAGGAAAACCAGGAGCGTTCAGGTTGGGATTTGTGCGGCAGCCCTTTGATTTGTTGCATGACGCCAGGGTTGGATCTTGCTGGGCTGCTTCGGGGTGATAGAGACGCGTTTCTGTTGTTTGCGCTGTTTAAAGACGCCGGCTCCTCTTAAACCGCATGGTTGTGGCGTCCTTCAGACACATGTTGCAATTCAAACAGCCGAGAGACGGTTGCCAGCAGTGGCATGTGTTGGATGACTTGTTACTGTTGGACACAAACCTCGCACCCACCGGCAATATCATGGTTTCAAGTCCAATTGCGGCGCACGGGCGCTAGTTAGGCGGTTGGCAGAAGCACGGCTCGCATTTGTTCCCCGCGTGCAACACGACTGGTGCTGGTCGTAGGTGGTCAGCGGCTCACCAACGATGTTAGATGAGGCCTACAGGTGGGAGCAACCCCTGTTTGACATGATAGCCCACGTGGGGATGGCTGGTTTGGCTGCAAGTATTGTTTGAGGAGTGAAGATCAGATTGGGTTCATCGTTCTGGTTGCAAGCCAGACGCTTGCAGGTTGTCAAAGGCCGGATTGTGAGTGCCGTTTGCTTGAAACCAAAGGGGCAGACCCAGAATGGGCGGTTGTCACTTGCTTTCCCTTCAAACCCAGCCCCTGTTCTATGTCCATCCAAATCTTCACATTCGACTTTTTCGTTTTTCCCCTTGGAAGATGACTTGGGGCTCAACAAGTTCCGGCAACCGAACGGCAACGTCCAACGGCAACCAAGGTGGGGCATCTTCTTGGACCAGCTCTTTGACTTGGACGGGCTGTTCGCGATTTGCAGGGGCGTCAGGGGCTGTTGACCCCTCAGGGGGCGTCGTACCGGTACCATTTGGGGGGGTTGATCAATATTCCATTTTGGGCCCCCAGGTTTGAGCATGGGCAACTTTTCCCATTTAGTGGTTGAAATGCAGAGTCATCCTTGTTTAGGGTTTTTCCCCGAGGGTCATCCCATGTATCACGGACCTTTTGATCAACCCCCATGTTTCTGAGACAGTTCTACCGATTTCATCTTATGGTGTTTCCTCCAAGGGCTGTTGACCCATGGTGTCGACGGTTGAAACCTTTCATCTGTGAAACTGTGACCCCGGACTCCGTGATTCCATGAATCACAAAGGTGGCGGTTTCAGAGGTCGAACATCGACCCCAAACAAACACACTGCAGGTATGACGGGGATGGGCTTGACGCCATCTCTTATATGGTTCATGTTAGCGTGTTTTTTTTGGAGGGAACCCCTCGTTTGCGGTATACCAAAAGGAAACCCACCCATATTGTGGGTCCCCGAAAAAGGCACACCCATGTAAAGGAGGTTGGATTGACTCGAGGACAGCTTGAAATCCCCGAAGTTGTGGAAGGTTGGTCCGATACATGTATTTTGACCACCCAAGCCAGCCCCTTTTTCTGGTGCTCAGTGGGGGAATGAGGGAATCCACAAAAAAGCCCACCAGTTGGATGGTTGTTCAGTCGGGGACGTTCCACGTCTCATTCCCCCGTCAAAACCGATCGGCCTCCGCGCGGTCGCGAGGAGCAGCACCCCAACTTCGAGCCGGAGCTGAGCACCCGGGAGGCCCAGCCGAAGCCAAAAAGCGCCGAGCGGAAGTCCTCGCTCCCCGAGTTTTCGTTTGAGACTCGTGACACTTTTTGTTGGGGTTTGGGTCGTTTTAGTGGGACAAATTTTATTTGACACTTTTTTGGAAAGTTTGGGTCGATTTAGGGGTGGATCAAGAGTTTGGACTTGGTTTTGGGCCAACAGGAAGTGAGGTGTTGAATTCCGCCGTGCGGTTTTCCTTTTTTTTCCCCGAGCGCGGAAGGTGGTTCCCTGGAAAGCGGGGAAAGCGGGGCAAGAACGGGACGTGGCACTTTCCGGCGAAATAGACCAAAGTTGGATGGACACGCGCGTCGGCTCCAAGGCTCCAGGGAATTCTGCAAGTTCGCCCCACTAAACGCCAGGGTCTCGGTTGACTTCATGTGGATTTCCTGGAGGGTGGTGGTGTAAAGACAAACACGAATGACTGACGTAACTGGAACTGACTCCCCCTGCGCCGAAAGGGTGTTTGGAACCATTTAGTTATAGTTCCTTTTAAGATTGTTCCCTCAACTTGTCAACACCTTTTCTGGCAGTTGGGCCTGGGTGTAGGGAGACTTCCCACCGGCGCCCCGAGTCATTTTGAGAACTCCCCCCACCCCAAGTCGCTGATCGCAGTCTCCAGTCCATGAAATCGGCCAGGTGGTGTCGCGCATCGTGTGGCCGGAGACGGCCGGCAAGGGCGTAGGCCGAACTGTGTTTTCGGCTTTTGGTCCGCCAAGAAGCCTCTGGCCAATTGGGTGTGCATTTTTCGAGGGGGCCCGTTTTGGGGTTGGTTTCGAGAGAGACCAAAAGGGCAGTTTTTTTTTGGGGGGGAGGGGCGGGGACTTCCTGCTTTGGCACATACCTTTTTGGAATGTCGTTTGACCTTATTTTGCATGTTGAGGTTCACTGGATGTGGGCCGGAATCAAACACGGGCAAACGAGCAGATTTGGACTTACCCCGGGAAGGCTGTTAGACCTCTCAAAAGCCGGACAGAGATCGGGGACTTTTGCAAGTTTGCAAAACTGCCAGCGCACCTCATGGGTCGATTCATGTCCGGTGTTTTGGGGCAAGTCCGAGAAACTTTGGACTCGTGTGTTGGCCATATTTGTTTTGCAGTGGAACAGTCAACAGCATAAACAAACATTGGGAGGTGCAAAGACCTGGACGAGTCTGAAGTTGAGGCGACCTCCAGGGGGTTTGGCAATCTTGCAGATTTCAGCCTGGCCCGGCGCCTTTCATGTCCTTTCATAGGTATCTACATCAACAAACGTTCTGCTGAAGATAGCAACCAAAACGGGGAACCACCAGGACTCCACAAAACAGGCCTGGGGGTGCGGGTTGGTTTTAATCGATCTTTCGCGATCGAAGCGCCTCGCCTGTGCCAATCTGTGGCTCGAGCGTGTCGCCTTTGGTCGCCCATCGAATCGCCCCGTGCACCCCCGAGCTCCGCAACTCAACATGTCAAAGCCGCTCGGAAAGGCTGGCGGCTGGTCAAGGGGGGAACAGATGGCCCTTGAAAAGGGGACCAAAACGCACTTAGTCGGAATCTCCGTTGTTTCCCATTGAAAAATAGCAAACCAGTTGTTTTTAAGGGAGAACCCTGTGTTGGTTGGTTTTGAGGACGAAACAGGATCTGACATGAGTCTCTGCATATGGGCAATTTTGTGCAGCCAGGGGTGCGCTTTTCGGAGGGCAAGTGATGTGTCCCTATATTTTTGAGCCAAGGTTACAAGGGGATGATGTGGGGTTGTTTCGGTTGTTTTCCTCCAAAAAGTCATACCCATCGCCGAGCTTTCTGCGGGTTCTAGTCATTGAAAGTACAGGAGTATGTGTGAATTTAGTTTTGGCACTCCCGAAACTGGTGGTTTCCCTTTCTTCCCTTCAAAACCGGGGCACCCTCAAAAGAACGACACCACTTATATCCAAATCAGGTCTAATCAGGGTTGTGGGATCAAGGGATTTTTCCCCACTTCTGTGATACAAGGGAATCTCCCCCTTTATGTGGGGGGTTAGTCTTTGGGAAGCCCTTTGTGTTGTATCACAGAAGTGGTCATTTCCCACAGCCCTGGGTCTAATTGTCAACACTTGAGATACTTGTCAGGTATTTGCCTCTTAAACTCTCGTTCGGCTCTTTATAATCTATGTATCTCTGAGTTTCTTAGCTGGCTCTCGGTCAGCTTGGGTGCCTGGGGTACTTGAGTCTGTTGGCCGCAGTGGCGTGGCAAAGATTCCATAGATTGCAAAACCCCTCCCCCCTTATACCCCCTCCCCATTTCATCTAAGAGGTCTTTGCAGGGCTGTGCGCCAATAGCTTACTAATAGCTTCCTAATAGCTTACTAATAGCTTACTAATAGCTGCTAATAGCTTCCCGGCTTTAGCGTACAAATAGCTGCTATTAGGTAGCTATTAGCAGCCATATTTTCCTCCAGGATTGTGCGGGGTTGTCACGCTGCTTCAAACCGCTCGAAGTCTTTACAGGCGGCAGGTTCCGCGATGGCTGGTACTGAAATCGTCGGATAGCCGCCAAGTTTTGCGTCATGTCAGAGTATTGATCCCGAAGATTTCAGCAATGTACAAGTCCACTGGGCACAGTCTGAGTGGTTCAATCAGCTGTTCAAACTGCGCGGCAAAAATGCCGAGTGGGAGAAAAGGTATCAAAGCGTCCGAGTTTGGCGGAGTCTGGCTGAATTGCATTGCTCGCGGGGTCTAGGTAGCTAGTCACTGACATTAGCAACTTATTAGCAAGCTATTTGAAGCCGGGGGGGGTCTGTAAGTCTATTGGGGCCCGAATAGCTGACTAATAGGCTGCTATTAGTACGCTATTAGTACCCTATTTGAAAGGGGGGGGGTCCGTAAAACTCGAGTTTTTTCAGTGTTTGGGCTTCCCGGGGCTGTTTTCTGCGGATTTTCGGACAAACCCAGGAAAACTGGCGAGGGCTTGAGTCGTAGGGGAGCATTTGGCAAAGAGAATAGCAAAGAGACGAGCTTTAGGGGAGCAGTTTTGCCGAGTCATTTAGCAAAGGAACGAGTGTCAGGCTAGCCTGTCTCGTATTTTGTCGCAATTGGCCTTTACTGATCGAAACGCTTCGCTTGCAAATGCAATTCTCGTGATTCAAGCCTCTCCCAAGGAGTTTTGCTAGCGTGCGGGGCTGGAAGTGCATTCCCCCAAGGACCTCTCCCAGGCACCCTAGGCAGATAAGCGTTTTAGACTAAAATTAAAAGGGGGGGGTACAAGGGGGGGGTTAGTAATCTATGGAGATTGGGGTTGAGCCTGCCGCCGTGGCCTTGATGCGGACGGCTGGCTGAAGGTCATTCTTGTTGCGCCCAAAAGAAGGCGGGCGAATGCATCCGGTACCAGCACATATGCTCATGTCTTCGAAACAAAGCTACGCGAAGGTAAAGTTGTAGTGAGTCCAACTGGGTTTGGTCTTTTTCGAGGCTACCCTTGTTGGGTGGGTTTAGATTAAGAAAACAACCACATGTTTGGGGGTCCCAGTTTGCCATACAGGCTCATGACCCGCCAGACCCTGCCCCTTGACAAATCAATAAGGGCAAAAAGATCAGCTTGGGAGCCTTGGCTGACTGGCCGAGTTTCTGAAAGACATTCTGTGGGTGCACGAAATCCTGCACCATGTTGAAACCATGGGAAACCATTGTTTCTTGGTAATTACACGAGAGTTGTCCTTCCAGGGTTCTTAGGTGGTGCAGGATTTCGTCCACCCACGGTAGGAACTGGTTCAATTGGACACCACCATTTGTAAATGGTTGTTTGCAGGTTCCAGGAAGATATAGATATAAATTCGGGAAGGTCATTCTTTGATATCTTCCCAACCAACGTGCTTGTCACCAGTTGGGATTGGTGGTTTACGCGTCACTCTTAAATAGGGTTTCATCCAGGCCAAGTGGCGCGGATTGCGGCGATCCACAGCGTTGATACTGTGGATGGTTGCGAACTCAATTTTGCACCACCTCAGACAGCCTAGAATGATGCGATTTCCCTGCAAATACCAAGAAACAATGATATCCCGGGGTTTCTTAGGTGGTGCGAAATGGATTTCGCAACCATCCACAGTATGTCAAGTGCGGCCCCAAACGACACCGAAGTTCATGGACTCCGCTTCCGAGGAACGCCAGCACCTGCTCGACGCCATCGGAGTGCCGTAAGCAGTCTTGGGCCGAACTTTCCGCAGCTCGGGCGCACGAAACGCCCGCGGGGGTTTTGGGGCTTATGGGGCTTGCCGGTTTGCTTGCATAAGAAACACGTGTCAGGACTTGGGCTGCCCTCAGGTTTGGGAGCTTTTTGTTGGTGGAGCACGAGTCGAACAAGTACACGCGAGCTTGGCACCGGGGTCATTGGCCGACCTTCGGGGGATGAAAATGATGTTGCGCAAGCCGGGTGCAACATAGCCCCGTTTGTGATGTTTCCGGTTCCCTATATTCCCCGTTGACAGACTCGTGTGTTCCCTTAGGTGAGTTTGGTAGGTTGGTTTTCTTTTTGCCAGTGGGACCCATCTATTTTACCAAACGAACTCACCTATAGTCAGCTGACTAGAGTTCTGAATTGGCCCGACATGGGTATGGGTCAATATTAAACAACCAGGGGACCGCAGGTTTTATTCCACGTTTCCCTTTACCAAGGTTCCATTTTGGGTACCATTCTTTTGACCCACACCCACATGGTTTGTCTTGCCAGCAAGCCGAGCTCATGAAAAAGGTGAGGGCCTTCACCGAGGAATTGTCTAGGCTGCTGAAGTTCGTTGGAGCAACTCTGTGCTTGTTATGTTGCAGTCACTCAGGTAACTCCTGATTGGCGGTTTGGATGGTCTGGGGATCGTTCTTGTGGCTGGTACTCCGGCAACCACCTCTCACCGATCCAAACCACCAATTAGCGGGAAGCTGATGTACATAAGCTCACGAGCAAGGGATCTCTTGAATTTCCGCCAAAGTCGCAGTTCTTGCACCTGAAGCTTGTTTCTCTGGGATTTCAGAGGGCTAACAAGTTGTTCAGCGGCTCTTTGTTTTCCTCTTCGTGTGTTCCCCACTAAGATGCCCCAAAGAAATGGTTCCCGTGTTGTTTTACTTGGTTCCCCACTAAGGACTGGTTCCAAATTCAGCTGAAAGCCTTTGCGCCACTGCATGCCCAGATAGGCTCTAGGGTGATTTAGAGTAGCTTTCCTTTTTTGGTGCATGGGCCTTCAAATTTGCTTCAGAATATGTTTAATTTGCCGGAGCGTATCTTTTATTTTCCCCTGGCCCAGACCAAAAGCCGCAAGAGGCTCTTGCCCAAGCAATTTTCCCGGCCTTTTGGGCCGCAGCTCGCCGTCGTACATCCTCGGAGACCGCTTGGGGCGACTCGGGGACGAGGAAGACCTCCTGACGGACAGCGAGCCATGGGAGGCCGTCTCTTACACCGAGTCCCAAGTCTCCCAGTCGCCACAGGCGCCGATCGAGGACTCGACGGCTCGACGGCTTCGGACGGCTCGACGGCTGGACGGCTTCGCTCGGGCGCGGGTTCGGTCGGTATCGCTCGAGGGAAGGGGGGCTGGAGAGTGGGTTGGAGGGGGGGTGGGACCACCCGGTTTGGAAGGGAGTTCAAATCTGTTCGAGATATTTTGGGGTAGGCTGTGGGAATGCCTCTGAAGACATGTTTGTCTGCGTCTTTGAGATGTGGGCTGTGGGGAGGTCTGTTTGATATGCCCAG